AATTTAGTGATTTATAATCAATGTTGATAAATTTTTTTTGATTTAAGTTCAAAATATCCAAAAGGAAGAAATTTGAAAATTATATAATGTATTGACGTATATGAAATTATATAATGCATTGAATTATATAATGTATAATGTAATTAGTATTATTGACGAGCCAATTCTCTATTCTTTTCTATAGTATCGCCCCACTAAAAACAAAGAATATTTTAAAATAACGAACACGAAAAATTTAGCCTAATAAATATTTTATAATCTTGTATGTATATGTATGTATATGAAAAGTAGTTTGAATCAAAATAATATTATGACGTTCATGAATGGTTAATGACGTTAAGTTACATACATATTATAGCATTAAGATCTATAAAGCTTCAAAAGATTCTTGTATGTTAATAAATTATTAGTGTATTTTCTTTTTATTTTCTAACAAATTTTATTTTAGAACACAAAAAGTGTCCAATAATTTGTTATCGTTTTCTCTCCTTCTCATATAAAGATTCTATTTCCATTATATTTTAACAACTTGAATTTGGTTCCAAAAGTATATAATTTAGATTTTATTTGGTATATAATGTAAGCGTCCTTTGCAAAATCTATTTTGTTTTTTATATTACCTTAATTTCTCGAAATTTCTTTCCATTATATAATAGTTTTTTATATATTTGTTAAAAACAAGCCTCAAACTACTTTTAAAGCTATGAAAGAGGATTTTGTAGCCGCATAATCTGAAACTGATTTTATATATAATTGATATAACGTAGATAATATTATAATACAGTGACTACCGACAAAGACCACAACTCCATCAAAATTTTGTTATACTTGTCGACTACAGTAAACAAGCATAACAAAATTTGATAACTAATTATCATTTTTATTTAATTGCCTATTAATTTTTCAAATATTATCAATCATTGATTATATTAATTATTTTTGCTATTATTTACGAAATATTAAATTTTTTCACTTTTACCTATTGACTACATCGAATATAGATTTTTAATTTTCTCAATTTTTCGTATGATTTTTAAATAAATAAAACTATAAATTGTTCGAGAAAAGACAAAAACTTTCATAATGAATAGTTCCATTCTCCCCTAAAATACATTTTTTATTATTTTTTTATTGATGTGTTCTTTTTTTTTTTGTAAAATAAACTACTGACATTTAGCATTTCAATATTTAAATATTTTTTGTGTTATGTAGTTACAGCTGGCAATCTAATATGGCATATGTTACGAGTTTAATACCACCACAAAAATTATTTAAAAATGAAAATTATAATGCAGTTATTTTGTTAGTATAGTTTTACGATGGAAACTCTTTTTTGGAAAATCAAAAGGAAATTTCATATAAATGCGTTTGATTTTATTATTTTTTTTTTATTACATAAAATTACTTAGTATGTAAACGGATTTCATATACGAATTACATTGTTGTTTTCATTCCAAAATCAAAAAAGTTTTGTGTACATTATGTAAGTATATAATTTCATTTAGTTACATTAGAAAATTTCTATTTATTATTCCTAAAAACTTTATATTAAATAATTAAGCAGGTATCATTTTTACAGCTCCTTCTTACTAAATATAATATTTTTGCTTTTTTTTGAATATTTTATTTTAGTTTTTTATACGACCAATAAATCAAATCAAATGTTAAACTTCAATAGAAATTTCAGTCAATGACAAAATTATAATTGAAATGTTCTAAGGAAAGAAATATGAAAAAGAATTCATTACACTACTCCCATTTATTTTGTGAGTATGCATATGTCACGTTAAACTGCATATTGAATGATAATTGGTAACATATTTAATTTCCTTCAAATCACCTAACAAGAAATAAAAAATTGTATATAAGAACATAAGTATATAAGAATATTATAGTTTTTCAAGACCAACTTTGATAAAATTTCAACTAAAGATAAGTAGATACAAAATATTTGCATATATATTTCTGTCTCTTTTTTATGTTTCGCAATTTTTATCATAATATTTAAAGTCTCATTCTGTACTTTAGTAATTACGTTTGACAAAAAAGCGAATTAGTATCATGTATTCGTATAATGTATAATATTGTTAAATGAAAAAAAATATTTTTTTTGTCAATCGTATGTACTAGCTAAGCAAATTTTTCAAAATAAGGAATAAATTTATGACAAATTTAGCCACTTTATTCATTTTCGTCATAATAAATATAGAGGAAAAAATAATAATAACTGACTATAAATAATATAGTAGAATTATACAGTACCACATTGCATTTCATCCAAACCTAAATCAAGTTTTTTTGAATTCAAAATTCAATTATCACTGTAACGAGACCAGTATTTGGTACTAATTATTTTATTTATTTAACCAAAATATTTTAATTTTTCTTATAACTACTGACTTTGCGGCTTACATACATTTAGGGCGAAGATTAATGAAATAATTTCATTAATGAAAAATATTTTACACATTTATTTTATATATTCAATTTTAATAATTAACATTTTCTCTTATGTTTTTGATGGAAATGTCAAAAAAATTACATCAGTATGATTTAGAGCGGCTGCAATAATATTGAGAAAACAAAAAGTCCAATAAAATTATTTTCAGAATATTGAAAACTGGCTAAAAACACGTTTTTAGAAAGAAATATATGTATATTGTATATATATATATATATATATATAGAATGAGACATAATCAACGTGACTATAAAAATTGTAATGAAGTAATTTAGATTTACATATATCCTTATTAAATTCAATTTATTTTAAACTTTATACATATTCTCCAAATTTTTATCACAAAGAGAATTGAACTATTTGACTAAAGAAATATTTACACAATTAACGTAAAACTATCTAAAGTTCAACTTCTTTTTGGTAGTCAATATATAAATATTATGATTTATTATTACGATTAATTATCATGAGAGTAAACTTTTGATATGATTTTAAAATACATAAATGGAACCTAAATTCTAAATTCTATTCTTTTTTAAAAAACACATATGTAGAATTTAGAGAACATCAAAAATAAAAAGTACACTCCATATTTCAAAATACTTTCACCAACCTCTCAGTTGTCCCGTTTGAATAAAACACAAATTTTCAATATTTCAATTGTAATGAAAACTAAAGAGTTTTTGTTTTAGTGACATACATAAGTGCTATTAATAATACATAAAATATTTAGAACCAGAACGAATAATTTTAAAAAACGGTGTTGCATTTCATTATAAGTTCGTGAAGATTAAAACGATGTGGTTCCATTCGAATAAAGGGATAACCTTTTTTACCGTTTAAAATAAGGTATTTTAGTGCATTTAAGTATTGTCTCAGTTTTTGGCAAAGAAATTGCAAAATTTACGCAAATAATTCAGTCTTATTCCTTTGCAAAAATAAATCCATTGAATACAGAGAAGATTTGAAGGTTATTCAAACCAAACGAAAATACAAAAAATTTATTTGCGTCATGAACATTTTTATTTTAAACTTTACAACTTGGATCATAATGGGACATTATCAAAAATTTTTGTTAAACAACTTGAATTATTTTTGCAAAATAGATGTGACGAAATTTAACTATTTACATATTTATGTAGATATGGCTGAGAACAGTGCTCGAAGTGAGGCGGGATGGATGGGATGCCATCCCACCAATTTTAAATGATTGGAAATCCATCCCACTACTTAATAGGAGAGAAAAATGCGTTCCGGAACATGTTTTTTTAAATTTAAGAAAATTTTCTAATGAATTTTAAAAGTTTTTTTAACAAAAAATTAAATATATGTAATTTTAAATAAGACCAATTTCAAATAGTAACCTATAATTTTTTTCTATTAATAAAATTTTCGTTACTACATAGTAGTCTATGCATTTCTTTGGTAACAATTTGCACAATTTTGATTCAATTTTTAGTTGATTTAATTTTGAATATAAATATTCTCGTTAGTTTACTTCCAAAGTTTGGTAAATTTTGTTTAGTTATTTTTTTAAAAAATAACTAAAATAATACTTTTTTTTTTTAATTTTTTTTTGTTTTACCATCCCACCACTTTGAGTATCCCACTTCGACCACTGGTTGAGAATATAAATTGTACAGTGTATGAATATACACACACATCTGGCATAAAATTTTTAAATTTTTAAAAGATGTGTATGTGAGCCAGTTTAGGGTTCCTTTGCGTCGAGACAATAGTTCTGTCCAAGACATATAATTCACTTCTCAAAGATAGAAGTGTGACAGAATAAAATTGAGCGAAATATGTGAGTTTTATCTTCCACAGACCTAATACTTCACAATCCATTTTTAATTTTAATATTAATTAAACTTTATTTATAAGAAATTATTTAAAATTGAACAAATAAGCAAACAAAAACTATGTTGTTAATCTAGTGAAGGCAAAACAAGAATTATGTATATTTTAATAGCAACAAAATCTCATTTAAAATGTTAAAAATTGCTACGAACTTATATGACAGTTACCCTATATTGTATATAATAATCAAAATGAATTAATTATTAAATCATAAGTAACACGATATAAAATAATTTATTATTCTGTTCTGGGTCTAAACTCTTGTTTGATTTGAAAGTCAATTATGATTAAAAAAAGTGTCACATATAACTATGTATATAGATTTTTAAATCAAATGAATTATATATTTATGTTTGTTTTTCTTTAATAATATTTTTTAGTACTATATAGAAATATTAATGTACGAATGAATAAAATATTTAAATTGTTTCAAAGTTAGAAAAAATTTTTTTTGTTTTTTTTTTTCCTTCCAATATTTTTCTTTTAAATATAATTTAAATATAAATTCAAAAACATATTTTATTTTTTGTTTTATTTTTATATTTTGATATTTTTATAAAAGCAAAAACAAATAAAAATAAATTAAAAAAATTTTATGTATATTATAAATGCAAATATATTCTTATTAAACATTTCTTTAACATTTATATTTTTTTTTATTTTTTTATTTTTTGTAATTTTGGAATAATATTCAATAATAATCAATAATAATTATAATTGTAAAAATTGATTTTATTTTAAATAGCGTTGTCTTTTTTAAATTTTATTTGTTCTTTAAATTTATATTGAATTTTTTTTTTGTTTGTTTTTTTTTGGTTTTTTAGATTAATTAATTATACAATGTAATTTTTAACGGTACGTACTTGTAGTTTTCTCATTTTTTCTTTTATTTTTTTTTTTACATTAATTATTTTATTTTTTAATTAAACTATTTACAAAGAATATTATTTAATATAGCAAAATGCTTTTTTTTTTTGTTTTATTCTATGTATTTTGTTAAATTTTAAATTGTATTTTTTTTTCATTTTAATTTTTACTTATCGGAAGGCGCAATGTAAATCTTGATTTCAAAATTTCATGTGTTTACTTCTTATACATAATATTATTAAATATTTACATCATATACGCAAACTGTTATGAAGAATTTGTAAATTGTGAATTTTTGTAGTGATATTTGTCTGTCTTTATCCAGTTAATTAATAAATTCATGACTAAGTAATAAATAATATTTTTCTTTTACACTGTTTTTTTTTTTTGGTTTTCTGAGTTATTTCAACAATATTTTTCAATTTAATAAATTTTCTATTAAATGCTATGTTTATATTAATTGAAATTACTTATATATAGTAACATAATCAATTTTTTTTTACATAATATATTTACAAAAAAAAACCCTAAAATATTTTTTATTTATTAATTTTAATATATATACACATAAATATTTTATAATTCATAATCAAATTTTTTTCAAATACATTTTTTTTTCTATTATTTTCTCTTACTTTCATTTTCTCATATTGTTTTTTTTATTTTAATAGTTTTCTGATATTTTTTATACATGTGTGTATGTATATATTTTTTTGGAAAATATTTTTAAAAAATTATATCTACAACTTCTTCTTCACATATAAATTATCTTGAAGAGAATTTTGATATTATCGAATTATGTAAATATATGTACATAACGTATGTATGTAGTTTATCTTCTTTGAAAATTTTCTACTTTAGCTCGCGAAAATAATTTTCATATATGTACATGTACATATATAATATACATGAGTGTATAGATATTATTACGCTTACGAAATGAATTCCCAAGTAAGTTATAGCAAATGTATAAATTAATTTACATATATACATACATACAGGTAATGCACATGTATTTTTTTGTTTTTCCATTTATTTTAATATTATTCTATGTTATTTATTTCTGTTATTATGGTTCATAATATTTTTTTTTGTTACTTAGGTTTGCTTTTACATTTATTTAAATTTTATCAATTTTGTTTTAGTTATTTTGGGTTTCTGTAATTTATCGATTAGTGTTATAAAGAGTTTTGTAAAAAGATTTTGGAATTTTTAACTTGATAATATTTTTTATTTCTATTATTAAAGTATTATTAATTAAAATATTAAATAATAAAAAATTTACAAATTATTTGTTTAATGTACTTAATACAAAAAATAAAAAAAAATATGACTCCATTGTACCATAGATAAAAATTGTAGTACTCGATCAACGTTTTTCATATATAAAATGTATGAAAAATAGAATGCTTGTTAAAAATTTCCACCTAAGAAATTTTGAATCTTTATATGATATGAAAACCTATCTGAAACTTAAAAAAATACGATAAATTTAACATTAGTAATAAGAGCCTTTTCCGAGTAATGTCAAAGATTTTACAATCATGTTAATTATGTCATTCGCTTGACTTTGCAAAACAAATTATAAAAATTATTTCAATAAATCGGGAAATAATTAATATTTGAAAATTAAATGTTTTCTTCGTCATTCATTTTGTCACATTTAAAAATTGCTTATTCATCATTCTTTAAAGAAATGCAAAAAAAAACTTGAAAAATTGGTTATCAAAAAACGACTTGGTTTTATTAAATTCGAATAACTGTTGTCCATCTAGAAATTCTATTCCATTTCAGCCATACAAAATATATTTTTCTAGATGCCTTTAATATTTTTAGAATAAAAAAGGTTTTTACTTCAAAACATAGAATTTTAATTTTAGCACAGACTTTTTTAACGTTTTTGGAGAAAAAAAAATTGTCAAAAGTTTCTTATATGAATGTATAAAAGCAGAAAGCTAAAAAAATTTAACTTTTATTGCATTTAAAAGTCAGTAGAATCGAGTTCATGACGGCAGTACTAAATTACATCTGCAGATGCAAAAAGTTTTTGGTGTTTTTCTGCTTATAACATATAGTTTAAGTTTGTAATTTTGCGTAAGTTTGACAACATTCTCTGCAGACAAATGCCATTTGTTTTATGATGCAGTGACAAAAAGAAAATATAATATATAAGTATGTATTAAAGGTTTTTGTTTTTTTCAGGAAAAATTTAAGTATTTTTGTAAGTATATATTATTTTTTGATCATTTCTTACTTTTTTGAACACTTATTTCTTTTAGGATAATAATAATGGAAAAAGTTTGAAATGGAAACGAATACAATTGAAACGAAACTAGTAATAAGTCACTGAATTTTTGAAAATGGAATGTTATATTTTGAATAACATAAACTTTTACCTGATTTTAATTTTATTCGTGACGAAATTTTTTTAAAAGGTTTCAAAACTGTTACGTTAATTTTCAATATTCTAAACAAATTTTTAGCGTTTTTAAATATCGCACTACATTATGTAGAATAGTTACAGTACAGCGTACATCACTTTTGCTTACTTGCAAAACATAAACTACATCCTGAATTACTGCAACAAGTTGGATTTCAAGTTTGAAATATCAAGAAAATTTATTCAAGAACTTCTATTTGACATATATTTTAATAGATATTCTATTTTCTAGAAATATTTTTGATAATTTGAGGTAAAAATATTAAAACAAGCTCTTATTTAAGTTCCTCAATAAATATTGTACTTTAAATACACATGTTCATATATAATATGTATATGATACATTTTTAGTGAGGGAAAATTTTAATATACATACTTTTATTTGTTTGTATAAAAATTTTTTAGATCACATTTAGATCTTAAGAATCAATTAGTTGAGTTGATGAACGAATAATAAATCTTTTTTGATGTCTTATATGCTTGAATTTTGGCAAATTTTTCTTCCGGTTAGAAAAATTTCTCAAAATTTTCACTACATGATCTACTTATTTCTATCAAAATTACTTTTTAGTTGAACATTTAACAAGCACTTTAACAATTTCATAAATATTTAATTTTTAGGCACGCCTACTAACGAACTGTCCTGGTTTTGTGGAACATATATTAATATAAATGTATATTTGTTAACACAATTATGCAATTTTATTTTTAGTTTTAAAAATTTGTAACCGCAAAAGCTCATTTAAATTACCGTTCACTCATTTATTGAATCAAATTAGCCGTATTATTCAAACTAAAAAAATATAAGAGATTCGAACAATTCGCTGTTAGGTGATTTATTTTTGAACAAGCTTAGTAACTAAAAAGTTTTGTTTACTCGCTTACATTTAAAAAACTATGTGTGTATGTATGTACATACATGGAGTCATGATTTTAAATTTTAATGCCAAGCGGCAAGACGTAGAAATAAGAAGTTTGTTAAACAATATTTTGTTCCGCCTCTTGTTTAATGAAAATATGAGTTTGTTGATCTTGGTTTTTTTTAGTTTTGTGTTCAGCTTATATTTTCCGTATTCCATTAATTATAAATATAAATTTGGAATTGATTTTATTTAAATTTTTTTTTGTAAAATATTTCTTACAAATTTTGCATATACACATATAGTTTTTATAGCATTATATATATATATGTATGTATTACGTATACATAAATAAAAAAATTCTATATTTAATTAAATGTTTGAATTGTTAATTAATTTTTTTTTGTATTTTTCTTTATTTGATTTTTGGACCATTAATTTGTTTGATTTATTTTTAATATTAAATTCTTTATCTTGATATTTTGAATTTTCCTTTATCTAAATTTAATTTTATTTATGTATGTATATTAAATTCTGTTGTCTGTTCGGCTTTTATACGTCACATGTTTCATACTTCGTACAGAAAGGAATTTGATTTGAAAATTATTAAGAAATAAAGGAGTAAATATTCATCACGTGTGTATAAAATGTATCCGTTGTATATCCATCCTATTTGATTTTACTGTAAATTAATGAGAGAAATATTTAATTAATCTTCATACTTCATATAAAAATAAAAATTTATTACAACTATAGTTTTATGGCTTTTTCAACGTGTGTTTTTAAAAACCATAAACTTATCATGATATCTAGAACATTTTGAAATCTTCAAAAATTTTTTCAATTCATTGCTGTTATTGTTGAGTTCGTTCAACAGCAAATTGCAAACCGGTTGTGTTTTGAATCACAAAAATAAACTTTTTTTCTCAATAGCTTTCGAATTCATTTCAATCATTTCAAAAGCAATTCCATATATTTCACATAGATAACATTATTCACATAGAATAATGATCACTCGGCGAATAATAATATTTTCAGCTAGATACTGTTGGAAATAAAATCATTTTGTTATAAAAATCATTTTGTGAATAATTGTTTATTTATTAGTCAAATTAATACACTCAAAATTAATGAGTAGATCGATTAAATACTTAGTAATACAAGTAAAAGTTAATTTTGTTTTATCATAGTTATTCGACTTTAGGGATTTTTCAAAATGTTCTCGAATAATTTTAATCTTACTTGTATAGCATATATGAAATGATTCAATAAATATAGAAGGTTATTATACTAAAATCTCCTATATTAAAGTAATTTATCATGCTCTTATATTTATAAAACATGCTAAAAATTTTAAAAATAAAAATAACGTTTCAAAAACAAAAGTGTCTACTTTACTTTACATTTTAAAAGGAATTGATTTAAATTGAATTTTTTAATTAAAAAAATTTACATCTGTGTAAAATTAAGTATAAATATGTCAATGCTATACATAACTTACATATTATGTATGTATTTACATTATAATCAGGCATATTTTAGATGTGATTGTTTACGTTATGAATTCACGGCATTTATTGGTATAAAATTTTTCACGTAAAACGATAGCTATATCATCTTAACGATGAAGCTAGTTAGCCCGATTGATTGAGACTTTTTACTTTAAATACTTTTCTGATAAATATATTTATAACAAATCTCTAGTAAATATTCAGACTTCAGGTTGATACATAAAAGCACAAAGAGATAAAAATAATTTTATTACTTCAAATCAAGTTTGCTCATGGTTTTTTTTTATCAGATCTGATCTAATATGAAAAAAAAACTACTGACAGATTTCGTTTGACAGATTATTTGATATTAAAACTGCAGTAACTAAAGGTATATTCTGTATAGTATATGAATACTTTTAAAAATAATTGTTGAAACTAAACAATGATATTGTTAAAAATATATATATATATACATATATGTATATATATATATATGAATGGATATGTCTGTAAATTGATTTCTCTTTAATAATATTCGCTGTAATTATAATTTAAGTTATGAAATTGTTTGAATTCGTGTAGGTTGAGAGGCATAAATACTGTTTGTATTTGAACTGTAAGTTTTTGACAAAAAAAGAAAAAACACCTGGTCCTCTAAGCTAATCAATAAATAAAGTAATAAAATTAAAAAAATGTTGAATAGCTTAAAAAAATTTATAAATATAGTATTAACAGAAAAACGCATGCTTATAAGCAATTCAATTAAAATAAGTTAAAAATTAATTTTAAATTTAGAAAAAAAAAGTTATTTTTGTAAGTGATCACATGCAACTGTTTTAATTACTTTATGTAACATACCTATAAACTAAGTCGAAAGTGTAACTTTTGGAAATAGTTATATCTGTTTGTATATATATATTTTATATACATATTATTGTTTCATTACTGTTGTATCATAAAAATTAACTTTTGTTGTAATAAATTCAAAACGCTTATATAATGTTTTTTTTTTTTGCTTTTTTGCTTTTAATTTGCAATTTGGTTAAATAAATCGGAAAATGTTTAAGCATATATAATTACATAAATTTTTACGTTACAGTAGCTTTTTCATCCTTTGGTAGTATCTTTTGATTTTTTGTTTAAAAGTGTTTTTTTTTTTTTTGGTGAGTAGCGAGTAAATTGAGGAAAACATAATATATGTTAATTTTTTTGTACATTATTAATAAAAATTTGTTTGGAAAAAAAAATGGCAAAAAAGAAATTAAAAATAATATTATCCATTATTCAATATGTTTTGATAATAAGAATATATGTATGTGTGTGTGTGTTGTAAATAAATTCGAATTTATATGGTTTTCATTTTAAATTTAAGGCTGAATAAGCTATAAGTAGAGTAATGTATTTCAGATGCATGTATTTACATATATGTAATATGAATATGCATTTTATTGCTGATGTTAAATATTTAGTGAAAACACAATGAAATCGCTTATTACGAGTATTAAATTAATACATATACAAATATTAGGAAGATTTTATCAATGGTGAAAATTGAAATTGTTAAATTAAGAGCAAGTCCACCCAGAAATTTTAAATTAAATTTTCTTTTTCGAAAAATTACAATTTATATTCTTTAAATGACGGCAATAGGTAACGTAATGTAGCCATGTAAGTAAAAAATCTGCTTACATATGTACATTGACATATTTTTGAATCAGTTAGAAGAAATTAACAAAAAAATTAATTTTGAAAAATTTTTTAGATCTTACATCTGCTTACGATATATTGAGGCCGATAAAACTTCCGATTTGCATTGCTTTATTCTTCCATAAAACGTTTTGACAACTTCAATTTTTTGAAAAATTTCAAAAACTGCAGTAAAAAAGTTTATTTTTTACTGCAAAACATTTTTACTTCATATTTTCGTGAACAATATCATTAAAATAAGGATTTCATTATTTACTATGTAAGGAGGTGTAAGTTTAGGTTTGTCAGTAATAGCGAATAATATTTTTCATGCAGAGAAGAGCTTTTTTTTTATTTTATTATTAAAAATAGTGAATCTTTTAACAAAAATTATTAAATTAATTTATTTGTTTAACTTAAAGATAGCCTTGTTACCATAATAGAATTTTAATTTTCAATTTTGAAATGATCTAATTATTAATTTTCCAAAGATAGAGACATATATAGAGTGATATATGCAAATTGGAAATAATAGTGCTTTTGAATATCATAATACGCTCAATACACTGTGAATTTTTAAAAATATAAAAATGTTTTTATTGGGACAAATAAATAAACGTAATTAATAGTTTTACAACTAGTTCGAAACTATAATACTTTAGTATATTCGTATAGGCTTCTAATTCATTACAATAAGAATTGCTCTATAAATAACAAATCTATATGTAAATACAAGTATATATATATATATATATATATATATATTATGTAAAATAACTACGATGTAATTAAAAATGAAAAAAAAATATTAGTTATATGAAAGAACGAGCGAACTCTTTGACAAAAATGATAAAAATAATCTAAAAATTCAAACCACTATAAACTATTGATGCTTTAGTAAAAAAAATTTGAGTGGGTTTTGAAATTTTTATTATTTTTTTGTATTTAAATTTTGTAATTTATTATATTTTTTTTAATTATTTAAAAATTGCGTGAATTGGAATGATACCTAAAATCTAATAGGTAATAATGGGAAACATTTTTTATCAGTAATGAAAAATTATTACGTGAATTTGCAAAAATAAAAATGGATTTCTCAACCAATTTGAACAAATAATTGTAAAAAATATTTAAAAAAAAAATTTTTTTTTGATTTTTTTTTGTGAAAATCGAATATTTTTTTTTTCTTAATTATATAATTATAATTTTAATGAATCTAATGATGCTATTGAAGAACGCCTAGATAAACCCATATTAGGTGGACCACTGACCAGTGATGTTGTCCCAAACAGTTTGTACCATCCAATCACAATATTTGATAAATTTAAATCATCTAACATAATTTGTGCAACTCCCATAAAAACTTTTTTTTCGATTCGTCCATAATCCCCCCATACGGTGACCTAAAATTTTATAAATCAATTTAAAATAGTGTCTAAAAATTATAAATTAAAAAAAAAATTTATGTGTTATAAGAGAAAATTATGAAGACTAGCATGAAACAATAATAAATCGTATTCATCAAACTTGACAATTTAAAAAGTCCAAATTATTTTCTTTCTGCTTCAACTAATTATTACGTTTTTACGCATAATTGCAAATTTATAAAAAAAAAATTCAAATACTTACTTGTAGTATACAACCTGCAAATGGTTCTTTAAAGGCCAATTGTTGTTGGTATAGTGGATCTAAAGTTCTTCTAGCAGTCGTTGTTTTCGATTTATCTATGCATTTTTTACCGGAAACAAGATAAACTTTAACATATGGTGCTGGAAGCATCTTAGAACCAGGTTTAGCCTAAAGATTGTATGCAAAAATATTAACTTATATTTAGAATATAAATTAAAAAATTTATAATTTTTTTACTTGTAGTCCACGAGCTCTTATTACTTCAACTTCTAAAAATCCTTTTTGATGGCACATGGACAATTGAATATCACCTAATGAAGGTGCACCTAAAACTTGTCTACCAACCAATTGGCCTGGACCAAGACCATCAATAAAATCAGATAATTGTCCTTCATTCATACGTAAAGATGGTGACCATCTACTTTGATTATAGATTTTGGTTTTATAATCATAGTTTATATAAAAAAAAACGAAAAATAAAAGTATTTAAAAATATGTACATATGTGCATGAATTAAATTCTAATTATTTTGATACACCATGATTTTTAAATTATGACTTATGAAATTTTAAATTTTGACCAGAAATGTCTAGTCAATATTTTATTTATATGTAATAATTTTTCTAAGAAAAAATTGAATAGAAAAATAAACATATGCATGCATGTATTTATGTGTATGCAAATGAAATTAAATGACATTCATTCATAAAGATAAAGACATAAATATAGAGAGATATATGCAAATTGGATAAAATTTTGTTGTTAAGTTTTTTCTGTAAAAATTTCTATTTCATCATATTTTTCTCCTTTGTTTTAATCGTTACACCAAATTTTTCTATTCAATTTTTTGAAAATTCACATATCTACAATGATGTATATATATATCTACAATGATGTTGGATAAAAGTATTATGCAAATAAAATATTCTGAATGGTTATTTTTCGAAAAAAAAGAGAGCTATCGACATTAAAAATTTTCCAAATCCAGTATTGTGATTGTAAGAAGCATCTACATAGTAAATAAATAACATAAGCTTCTAATAGTTAACTACAGGAAGAAATTACACAAAAAAATTACATTCTATAATAAATAAAAATTAAAATTAAATTAATGCATGAAAATACATGATAATTAAAAATAAAATTTTTAAGAAGTCGATCATAATATATTTTTAAAATTTTCACTTTACATACAGGGAGAGATAGAGTTCCACGATTTGAAGACCATTATTATACATGATTTTTTTAATTGTGAATAAAAAAAAATTGAAAACAATTGAACAATCTATATGAATAAATTTCGCTATAACAAAACCTTTTAACAAACATTCTCATAGTTTCTTTTTTATTACTTTTATTAGGTATGCAAATGTAAGGTAGTACAAAAAAAAAGAAGTTAAAAGATTTAGAATTTAATTATCTGAATTGTCTGAACCAAAATAACTAGACTAAACATATTTTATTATCCAATTACAAAATGGGCATTTTTCAAACCCTTTTAACATTTTGATTATCAACCTATTACCACTATTGTTTCAAGGAAAATAAGAAAAAATAATAACTTTAAAGTGGTACTTTTACTTACCCTATTCACATTAATACTAAAAATCTGTCTTAATATCGTAACAGTGCTGATTATGAAATAATAAACTCTATTTACAGCTATACATACATTTGTATGTATGTGTATTAATTTATTTTTAATAGTATTTAATAAAATAAATTTACTTCTTTATTATTTATTTTATTAAATTTTTTATTAAAATTATTTATTTTGATTTTGTTAAATAATTTCAAAAATTCCATAATTCATTTTGGCCAAGCCTGATATAAGTATTTAACTATAAGTACTTATATGAGTGATTTATATACTTATATGAGTATAAGTATATACTCATATGTTTAGCAGCTTTATTTCAAACAATAGTACTGTAAAAAGGCAATGCGTCACATAAAAACTTTTTATTAAACAAGCTAAAAATTTTCAATTCATAAAGTTTGTATTCATATAGCATTCAAGTGTTAATTTAAATAAAAAGTGACTGGGAAATAATACACAAAAAACTGAAGCAAAATAATAGAAGCAAGGACAGTTATTGTTACATAAACCAAAGAAAAGAAAAAATTATATTACACATAATAACGAAATTATTGAATCTTTCACAGAACTAAAGTATAAGAGCATAGAAGTTGTTTTTATGAGCTTGGAAACTCTATACAATTTTATTTCAATTATAGCTTTTCTTTGCATATTACAAACTTTCAAACTATGTGAACTGGCTGTTCATAAACAACTTAACAGAATTTTTGACGTAACAAATCGTGCCAAAATATGAATGCCGTTTCCATGACAAAAATACTAATTAAAGTAAGTTGTCGATAATTTTCACTATAGGACCTTCTAAAGAATTTTGTTATCAAAACGAAAAAAGAAAATTCAGAAGCTTGTTCGGAATTACCTTTTTTGATAAGTATTTGGAAAATGATTACATATTTTTATTTTGAAGTTATAGTAGATTTATAATAAACTGCATGATCACAATATATGTATATACAGGGTGATTCAGTAATAAGTTGGAAAACATATGCCATATCTTAAATCCTCTTTTAAAAACTATTTGTTTGAAACTTCAATTTTTCGGAACAGAAGTTATAAACAAAAAAACTTAGCTTTGACACTATGTTTCGAACAAAAATACGAGTATTACTCTTTTTCGACTATCTGTAATTTCGATGTATGTAACACGTTGCTTTTTTCATCTTAAAGTTTAAGCATGAATTATTGTTACGTCAAATATTGTATACAAAATGATAAAATTTGACATACAAAACAATTGTGCTCGAGTTTTTCTTTTTTTAAAAAAATTGCATGTAGTTACGAGTATTAATTTAAGATGCAGATGTATATTGCCAACTAAGAGTTATATTCTATAAACCCTTTTACAGACATTTCATTTGAATCGTGAAATTAAACATAATAATGTTTTAAGTAAAACAAAACAAAAATTGAAAAAAAAACTACATTGAAAGTGAATTAAAAAAAAAATTAAAGAAAAAAATTTAATAAAATTACTTCTTCGTTAAATAACAAGGGCAAAGGGAGAAAGACACACTGAAGGCCAAAAATAAAAATGAAGAATAGCGAAAATAAAATTTCATTTTAGAGAGATATACACACACTCACTTATTTTTATTTTAATATAAACACATACATACATATTATGCTCTTTCTCAATGTTTATATACATTTATATATAGACATATAAATAAAGATACGATCTTTATATAAATACTTTATATTAAGAAATTAGAAAGGACATTTATTAAAAAAAAACGGAACATCGATTTTCAAAAATCCAAAGATGATATTTCACTTTTTCATTTTCTGCTTTTTTATATATATATATAATAAATTTTGTTTTGAAGATTTTCTTTCTAGTATGCTAACTTACGATGAACCATCGGAACTTGTAGATATGGAATGTAAACTACCAGCGCGATAAGTGCCAGCAGTACCTTGTTGATGTACAATTGAGGACAAATATGGTGCAACTTCACATGATCTTTGAATACTACCAGCGGAACCACGACTACCTCTTTGCTGATTTTGTTGATGATAATGTTGAGAAACCCCTTGGTCTTTTAGTTTTTATTCATTTATATAATCAAACACATAGAAGTTTTAATTTTGAAATTTTTCGAAGCCCAATTAAAATTTCCGGTTAAAATTCAATTTTGTTATTTATTTGTGACAATTTCAATTATTTTGTTTCAAATTTTATCAAATTAAAATATCAGTGCAAAAGTTGTGGTGTAGTTTATGGAAAAAAATAAAAAAAAAAGAAATTAACATTATTGAAAAGATGTTTTTTTACTAATTATTTATTACTTCTGTATAACAAACGACAATTATTGATTTTATTTTAAATGTTAATATTTATTTTAATAAGAAGAAAACTCATTTTTCACAAATTTCCCTCAAGGTCGAATTATTTTTGTCATTTTCCATCTTTTTGTTAAATCACGCTTAATTAGAATTTTTGATAAGCGGTTTAAATTATTCAAACATATTCAAAATTAAAATAGTCAATGAATATGCTACCGGAAATCACCCATTCCATTTAAATACCACTTTGCAATAAAAAAGGTAAATAATAGAAAGAAAATTACAGAGTCAAATTTTCCAAATGTTTACTTTTAAGTAATCGAGCTATAGATGTTGTCATTTATAAACTAATACTTTATGGTAATATTTTGAATCTAAACTCTAACTATAAAATATTAATTTTATTTAACAGAACAACAGCCTAAGTTGAGTTTTTCGTACATATTTTATTTATTTTTTCAGTTATACTTTTCTGTCGTGGTTGATACATATATTTCAGCTTCAGCATAACTGAAAATGCAATTGACAAAACATCAATTTGACTCAACATATACTTCTTTCCATATAATGTTACTTCTTTTCAACTTGTAAAATATACAATGATTTCAAAATTGATAATAAAATGTCGCTCATTTTCGATTTGGTGCACAATAACTTTACACTCACACTTTTAAAATTTTTTAAATGAAATGACGTTTTCAAATACAAAAGAAAAGTTAAGTGATTACTTCATGTATTTTCTGGTATTACCTCTCGGAGAAAGCAGCAACCAAATTAATATATACCAATAATAAGCCAAATTAAGAAATTAAAAAGCATTTCCAACGAAAACAAAAAAATTAAATTCATAACGCAATTATTTTCGAACTGAAAAAAATATAAAAAAATCTGTAACAAAACCTGTAATCATGAACACAAAATATCAAATAATACAAAACTGATCAGATCAAAACAAACTTATGTTATTTCAATAAATATTTTATAAAACATTATATTATAAAATACTCTCGGTAAAAATAATATTCACCTACTCAAAAATTTGTTTTCTTGAATTAATTTCTGGCGTCAACTCAATTTTGAATCTATTTCTCCCTGTTATATTTGATTTGCATCGTATTGAACTCTGATATTACAAACAAAAAATAAAAAACTACCAGAAAAAAATTTTTAACTCCAAAACGTAAAAATTTTTAATATAAAATAAAGATTGTACCGCTGCAAAATTAACATTAATCAAAAACAAAATTTAATATTTAATTTATTATTAAGTGAAAATTAAAATTTTTCTATCCACAATATTGTCTGTATAATATTCGATATTTCAGTGTTTCGTTAGTTTTTTTCTGAAGACACGCACGAAGTCGTAAATCTTTTACAACATTTTCGTCTAGCAAAAATTTCGTTTATCGAAAAAGTTATTATTTATTAAAAATTTATTACTTTTGACTTTTAATAGCAGTTATAAAAAACTAATTTATATTAAATATGGTGCAGAACCTTGGCGTTTAAAGTAAAAAAAAAGCTTTTATTAAAAAGGAAATATTTATTGGTAATTCTAAAAAATGATAAAATAATATCTACATAGATATTATTAAGCAAAATCTTTATGTAATGAACATTGCATAAAACGAAAAGCTCTGTTTTGAGAACGATAAGAATTGACGAATTTTAAGAAATCCCGTCAATTACTTCGTGGGACATAATCAAATACATGTACCTTAGTGAATGTTCTTTTTCCGAACGCTGAAATTCCCGAATAATTTACTAGCTCATTATTTTAATATGCAGATTTTAAATATGAAATTGAAGACTGACGGGAAAATTCGGAAAGGAACCATCGGTCGTCAGCGCCGCCAAAACGACATTGAAGCAGTAGCCTGGTCAGTCCCCTCTTTCGTCAGTAGCGGCAATTCTGAACCGAAAGGAACTGACAGATGCCGATATAATGCATCTAGATCTAGAGAAGACCTTGCTGAGCCTGGATCTGGATGAAAAGGCAGAAAAGGTAAAAAGCGAATCTGAATATCTGGATAAGCGATCTGAGGACGGCAGGATACAAGCTGTTTTACGGCGACGACGGTTAATTAAGAGTAACTTAAGTGCTTTTCCATTACCTTTTCACAGCAATAGAGATTTGACTGCATTCAGTCTCGAAGCTTGTGATATCATCTCATTGCGGTATAGTCAATATACATGCTCTGTATATACCTATATAGTTTATAGAGAAGGCTCAACCTCTCTGAATCAGCCTGGTTATTCAATGCCAATGCCTCAATTCACCTCACGTGAAACAATGAAGATTGGACTCAGGTATGAGAGGTGAGTCACTTCTACATTTTATTTTGAGTACTTACCTTACTCATAATCGATTATTTCGAATTTCGCTTTTGTATACGAAGAAGCGTTGGGTAGAACGCAATTTAGATTTAAGCTGGCTCTAGAAAATTGCAAAGACGTACAAAAAGATATGTACTTAGGGTTTATTGATTATGAGAAAGCTTTCAACAGAGTCCAACACAACAAACTTAAAGAGATTCTAGAAAGCATGGATATAGATGGTAAAGATATACAATGCATTAAAAATTTATTTTGGCACCAAACTGCAACAGCAAAATCTGGAGATATAGTTACGGTAGATATTGAAATCTGCAGAGGAGTACTTCAGATTCCGAAAAAAATTTTCAAAAAGTAATAAGCGAAGAGAATAAAGGAATAAAAGTAAATGGAACATTTATTAACAACATCCGTTAACATTCATCGGAAACGTGTCAAATACAAGTTTCAAATACCTCGGATCATGGTTATACGAAAGTTGGGACTCTGATAAGGAAATAAAATACCGCATAGAGATGGCGAGAGACGCTTTTGTTAAATACAAAAAAGTACTTACCAATCGAGATATCAACATCAATCTAAGATTTCGTTTTATTAAGTGCTATATATGGTTTATTCTCTTATATGGTGTTGAATCATGGACTCTAAAAGTTGCGACTATGAACAAAATTGAAGCATTTGACATGTAGCTTTTCAGGCGAATGCTAAAAATTCCCTGGACAGGTGCTTATTTTGGTCATATTATTAGAGGACGCAAATACGAACTTTTGCAATTAATTGTTCAGGGTAGAATAGAAGGAAAAAGCGGTGTGTGACGGAAAAAAATGTCGTGGTCACGAAATATCACGAATTGGACTAAGATAACGTCTATTGGTCAATTAGTCCACACAGGCGTGAATTAGTCCGCATCTAGGCGTGAACAATATTCTACAGTCATTGCCAGCATTCGTTAATACACACTAACATCTAGCAGTAGATATGCAGCAAAAGAAGAAGAAGAGAAGACTTACCTTACAATGTATAACAGAGGCTTAAAGCCCACTTTTATTACTAAAAATCGGCAAGAGGTAAAACATATAGCCTCGAAAACTCTTGCTAATCTTGTCACGAAATGGAAGATGTCGGAAGACCATTTCTTTTCTGACTATAGTATATAGAATTCAAACTGGTACTGCACCAGAGTGCTCCTCTGACTTCCAGAAACTGCAAAAAAATTACTTGGCCTTACTAAGCGATCTCTTGAACTCAGGAAGCCTTCCCGCCCGGAAACGACTGGACACTTTGACCGTAACTTCTGCATGGTCGCTAATTCGAGTGAGAGCAATATGAAAGCTACAATGATGGACCTAAGGATCAAAGTACAAAAGGCAACTGAGAAGGCTGCAGAGGTATTCCGTGAAGGAGTTTTGCACAAAATTTGGTGCGACTGCGGAGGTTTCTTGGCTTGAAAAGTGATTTAGTCGTGCCAAGTTATTCGGATCAGTCCGATACGACAATCTTGTTGGGAGGATGTGATTTCCGAAAGAGGAATTCTTTAGGTCATCCGAAGTTTTAAGCCTTTTTATGGAGTATATTTCACCTCCTCTCTGGAACTTACTCTGGAAAAGTTATAAGGAGGCCACCTACGTCGATTTGGTTACCGTATATGGAAAGCACCACTACACCCTAAGGGGGTTGATGCAGAGCTCTTTTACCTTCCTCGTTTCTGTTGGCTAACTATCAACCCTCAAAAGACGGAACTAATTATTTTCAACAGGTGGTATAAGACTCTAAGCATAACTCAGACGAAACTCAACGGAATCCGCCTGTCCTTTAGCAGAGAGGTTGGGGTAATGGGCCTAATTCTTGATTCAAGGTTCGGAAAGAGTAAATAAAGCAATTATTGTGATTTTTTCACGCAAGAAAGCCTTTAAAAAGATATGAATCTAAAACGAAACGCGGCTATACACCACGGAAGTGAAACCGATTCTGATGTACGGTGTTCTAGTGTCTACGGTGTACGGCGCTTCCTGCTGCCTTGCATCGAATTGATAACCAAAGTTCAAAGAATTACATTATATACTTGTGGGGTACCGCACTCCACCGATACTTACCAGATTCTCTTGCAGTTGATATACTGCGGAACATGGAATTCTCGGAATTCTATCTGCAAAAGAAAACATGAGCTATGCTACTGAACGCAGCAGAGTAGCGCAATAATCTTGGATGTGTCAACCAGTAGCGCGACAAGAAAATTGCGTCTCACAAGGGATCTGATATATCTCCGACAGGAGAGACGTCACCCCACAAACCAAGGCTGTCACCAAGAGAAAGAGGAGATGGTGACCCATTTGCTATGCTAGTGTGCAGTGCGGGCAAGTTCTATGCCGAAGTTACTTGGGTCCTCTGGTTTTTCAGTAGATTACGGACTTAGCGAATGTAAAGGCTAGGGGCTTAGGCCGATTTCTAAGGAACGCAGGCTGATTCTATTGGACGGTTAATTTCAAATACGTAATTTGAAGTTAATCGGTTTATTATTATCTGTTTCACCAAAAATGTAAATTTGGCCTAGAGTAAAAGTTTCCTTGCTAACATTCGATCTTCTAATAAAGTTAGGTGACTTGTTGTATTGTCAGGCAGGGGTATATATACAACATTTCAGGAAATTTTCAGGAATCAAAAATTGCTGATTATTTTCTTAAAAATAGTCAAAAATCTAAAATTGCCCTTTAGCAATCATCAAGTTCCAGAGATCTTACATATTTCAAAAGTTGATCAAACCTTCTCATCCTTAAAGGTAAACTCAGATATAAATTTTGGTGAATATCGGTTCAACCGCACTTGAGATACTAATCTGCACAGACAGACCAACGCACTGACTGATCGACCTCTAACATTACTTTATTTGCGCTTTACTGAAATTGAAAAACGCATTTCCGCCAAAAAACTGGACTTGTGAAATCCTCTTATCCATTATTACCCTAGAAAACCTTTTTTGAGTTTGTGCGATTAAAATTATGTTACTTAAGATTAATTTATACGAACATGGAAATATAAAAATGTGAAATGTAAAAATTTATATTTCTATTAAATTTAAAAATTATAACTTGCGATGACGCTCTTTTCAATATTTTGCTTTTAAACATAAACTATGTCAAAAAATATCAAATTACTTTGTTGAGGGTAAGCCAAAGTATTTTGCATTTGCCATTATTGGTTAGGTTCCTGCTTTTAATTTCTGATCTATTAAAAGTCAAAAACGTGAGCTTTTTAATTTCATTCAGCTTGCATAATTTTTAATTAAAAAATTTATTTAATTTTCTATAAATTATTTCATAATGCATATGATATTTATGTTTTAATTTATGAAACATGCATGCAATTTTTTTATATACATTAGAGAAAAATTAATAATTTTCATCTCAATAATTCAGACTTCATAAAAATTAAGTAATTTAATATTTATTCGAATACTAAAAACAAAACGAAAACAAAGAAATTATAATCAATAAATAAAATTTTAATCAACTATCAAAATATTTATCGTTTATGAAACTACAAACATAAATAAAAATTTAACTTTAACAAAAACTTTAATTTAAAATAAAAAAATTAGCATTGTTAATAAATGTTTATTAACATATGTAACTAAAGAATATTAAAATGAAATTTGCTCCAAAATATGGTAATATAAAAAAAATGTTTTAATGATCAACAAAGCAAAGCAACTTTAAAATAAGTTTTCTTTTAAGTTTCAATGTCGACATATATGTATATCATAAACTATGAACACACATATACATATATATATATATATATTTCATATTATATGTTTACACATATGCCTTTCTTACATACTTAATATTATTAAGGATGTATGCAAATACATTTTATGACAACTAAATTATTTCATAAAAAATAACGCTAAACTCATATTCGTATATTTGAATTTTAAAATCGAACCTGTCCCCATCGGTCAATCCTTCACCATCATCCGATGCTGAAGAACCTCTTGAAAGGCCACCACGTGTTAAATCACCAGGAAGAACTTCTTCACTTCTGTGCACCGTAAATGAGCTTTTACCCCTTTTACCAAAACCCATTCTTCTTTTACGACCTTTATAGTATAGTTATGCATTTTTATTTTAGATATTAAAATTTTTTATAATTTTCCAAAGTTATACGGTTTTAAAGGCAATTTTTAAAATTGAATTATTAAATTTTAAGTGACTCCCTATTAGAATCTAAGTTTCGTTTTATAATATTACATGAATTCAAATGCTATTTTTAGCAAAAACATTTTATCCCTTATCGGAAATTGTTTTAGGACAGTCAAATTCAAAACGTTTAAAACCAAAATTTTTAATACAAAAAATTTTCCCACTTAAATTCATAATCATGTAATATTATAAGTACATTCGTTTAAATGTTCAAACCATCACAGCAAATGTAAACAATATCAAAAATAACTCTTTCACTTACCTGTTGCTGAGAGTTGCGACGTTGAATTACTTTTCTTTCCCATTCCAGAACCAAAACGGTCACCTGCTCTGCTACCAGCATCACTCTTAGGAGACCGTTGCTCCCCCGGAGTCTTACTCTTACCTACTGCAGAATCTGAAAGACAACCATCTACGAATAAATCGAAGAAAAAAAAAAACAGAACTCAGAACGCAACACTACTTATTATATCAGAAACACTTAAAACGAAAAAAAAACAATTAAAACGAATTTCGAAGCGAAAAGAATATTTGTTTTTGTTATCACTTTGTCTACACTTACCAATTTTATCTTCGGGCGTTCCATCCGCATTCGATATACTTCGACTGAACGTACCTTCATCGCCACGATCGCTTCCACTTTCAGCACCACGATCGGCCTTATCACGATCACTGCTGCCACTGCCTCCACCGCTACCAGCTTGACTACCTCCACGTCCTCCAGCCGAATCTTTTTGGCTGGTAGCACTGGATTTTGTATCACCACGTCCACTACCGCTATCATTAGATGGTACTTTACGTACATTACGGTCTTCACCGTAATCACTAATAAAGTCATCCAGAGGAAACAAATCGTCATCGTTAAATAAATCGTCAATAACATCAACATTATCAGTAGATGAAGTTGTTGGTTTAGTTGTTGTAGTTGTTGTAGTAGTTGTAGTAGTTGTTGTAGTAGTTGTTGTAGTTGTTGTAGTGGTTGATGTTTCCGTTTTTGTTGATGATTCATTTGTTGATTGTTTGTTTTGTTTTAATGAACCACGTTTTGGTGTAGTGGATTGCAGAGCAACACCATGTGATGATGATGAATTTTTATTTGTAAAAGATGAAGAAGAAGCATTATTAGCATTACTGCCTACCGGACTATTGCCACTACTACTATTAGGATTTGTTGTATTCTTTTTTATATTAGATACATTTATATTTTGGGATTTTGTTTTATCATTTTGACCAGTCTCATTTTTTTTATAATCTAGGTTATTGTCATCATATGATGTTTTATCATATTCAAAAATTTGAGGCTGATCATTGATACTAACTAAACTAGAGCGATCTGGGTGACTACTACTATTATTTGTTTCTTCTTGTTGTAATTGTTCTAAGCGTGTACGACGTTTTTGGTGTGGTGATGATGAAGACGATGACGGATTTTCTGACTGACTACGAGCGCTCAAAGAGCTACGTTTTGGTGAGCGATTCATATCTTCTGATTTCGTTGATCTATCTAAAATCGGTTTTGTTTGATCTTGACCTAATACAGGTGGTGAAGGTGGAGGTCCTCTTTGCCTTCTTTGACTTTCCGATTTATCAAACAGATCATCGAAATTAGGAGGCTGCGAATGTTCATCAGAATACCATCCTTCATCGTCTTCATGTTGTGTTCGAGGAACTGTGGAACCGCGTCTTCTTCTGTTATGTCTATTTGTATAGCTAAGCGTAACGTGTGCGTCTATATTATCGGCAGTTTTTTCACTTAAAATGTCCACGATATTAGACATATTTTGAGCTTTGTTATGCCCCTCTAAGTCTTGACGTCTTCTACTATTTCTGTTAATATTATCAGAATCAGTCTCAGTATTGGCACTATATTTTGTACGTTTTTGTGGCGATGGAAGTCTATTATTATTATTGTTCTGGTTACCAGATGTTGTTCTTGTCAAATCTAATGATAATTGGTTTCTATCCGAATAATGATTCAACATTCTATTAAGACTCGAACGTCGCTTAGGGCTTCTTGAAAAAAAAGCTTGCACCGATTTCCGTTTCCAACCTACATCTGAGTCATATACAATATTTACAATGCGATCATCCGTAACTAAGGAATGTGAATGGCTCAATGGATGATAATCATCTATGTAGGCACCCATATGGGTTTGTCGAATATTTGTTTCTGAATTATAACGGCGAGAAGATTCACTTAATGGTCGATTGTAATATTCGTCCGCGTAATGAACAGAACGCCCACGTCTTCTAGGTTCATAGAAATCTCTATACATTAAATCATCGTAATCTAAAGAGTGTGACGAACCCTCAGAAAAGTACTGTCGACGTATATGAGGACGAGGCTTTTTGAGAATCGATTGAATAGGTGGCTGAGGCAGAAGTCGGTGTGGTGGATTTCTTTTTTGCGGTTGTGGTGGTAATGGTACTGTTGCACCCGAAATAGGAACACTTGTTATTAAGGCATCTGGAGTTAAGGCATTTGCACTTCCCAAACGAACTACCGGTGTTCTTCTTCTTTCTCGATAATCTAATGGATCATATATACTACTACCTTTCAAAGGAATCTCTGGAGCTCCCTGATTTGAATACATCTGTGAAGTAACTGTTTTTTCTAAACCTTCACCTGAAACTTGAGCTGTGTTATTGACATTATCCACCATTAGAGGATCATATGTAAAATTAGGAGGACTGATACAATCGCTAACACTTAACATTGGATCAAACATAGTTGGCAGTGATGGTTCTGATGACGGTTGAAAAACCGACAATGACGGACGGCGAATATGTAGAGGAAATGGAAATGTATTTTCGAATTGTTCTATATCCATTTGTTGTTGTTGCTGTTGTTGTTGGGCAGCATTAATACAACAAAATGGTAAGGATAATGGTTCCGTAACTAAAGAAGGATTCGTTAAAAACTGTGGATCTTGTAACTGAGCTGATAATGATGGTGGCATTTGACTTGAGACGATTATTTCACCTGGATGTGGACTTGTGTGAGTTGTGAAAAATGGAGTACTACTGGGTGGGCAATGAGGACATTGATTAAAACATTGTGGAGGACATTGAGGGCATTTACTACATTGACAAGGGTCGCTAATATTGGTCATGTTATCATACAAAAAAGGATCGGATGGGCGAAAAAAATTTACAACAGGAGTGGTGATGCGTTTTATTGAATCTATACATGGTCTAGTTAATAATGGATGATAACCTCCCAAAGAACTACTTCTATGAAACATTTTTTCTGGTAATTGTCTACTAAAATCAGCTGTTTTAGCGATAAATTGTGGAAAATGTTGAAAATATTGTGGAAAATTAATATAATGATGAGATGAATTGGGTGGTAAAAATTGTGGTGGTGGTATTGGTGGTGGTAACGAATTAGAATGTGGAATATTATTATTAATTGAATGATAACTAGATGAATTAAAATGAGTTGGAGTTGCATCTGTAATTGTATCTTGCAGCGACGTTATTGTTTCAGGTTGTGTTGGTATTTGTATATCAATTGGTTGTGTATTAAGTGTTTGTGATTGTGTTGGCATTGTTAATTGTGTTGGTTGTGGTGGTAGTGGTTGTTGTGATGTTTGTTGTTGTAATAAGTTAACGTGCTCTGCAAAAGAATTCGTAGATGATGGTAGTAGATGTTGTGGTTGTATTGGTGCATTTATAGTAGTAGTAGTAGTAGCAGCTGCAGCAGCTGACGTTGCTGACATTGGATAGCGCTCATAACTATAGCGCCAATAACGTGGCAGACTTCTGTAGTTGGAGATTTTATTTTTGATTTTATAGTTTTGTTTTTTTTTTTGTTTAAAGAAAAATTGTTTTGTTTTCATTTATTTGATTTTATAAAAAATTCACTTATTTTTTTTTTAATTATTAATAACTGATAAAAAGAATTAGTAGTAATTGATTGGGTGCAATTAATTAATTAAAAATATTACATAAAAATATGTTTTTTAACTCTGATAAAATTTTTAAAAATGCTCTATAAGTTTTATGTAAATATTAATATATATGTGTAACGTCATCTATTAAATGCTGTTTAACATAATATTAAACATAAAATATTTTTATTTAATAAAAGTGTAAAATAAAAAATTATCGTATTAGTTCCAAAATAAAAAAAGCAATTTTCGAATATGTTATCATTTTTTTTTCTCATTTTTTTTTTTTGCACCGAATCTATAAATTAAATATCTATAAATTTTATTACTTTAACCAATAAAATATATATATGTAACTACGTTAAATATTTATATAATAAAATATTTCAAAAAATAGACTTTATAAGTTATTGTCACTTGTAATATGCTTCAAAGAAAATTTGTATAAAACATAACATTCTATTCAATAAACTATAAAATACTTCAAAATCCTAAAATATATAATATAAATTAACAGTATATATTGGCATATGATAATATATACTTTATTATTTATTATGTAATTAATTATATTTACATAACTAATTATAACAGTTTTCAGTATATAAAACAAAGCTATACTTTTGGTTTTACTTTTTATTTAAAACTTTTTTTTTCGAATCGTTTGTAATATATAATGTAACGTGTAACAATTAATATAAAACTTATATGTATATATAATAATAAAACGTGTATATATATGATATACATATACTTATAGTTTAAAAAAAATAAATATATAAATATTAACATTTGATTAATTTTAAAATATTTACCTCAATCCCCTTGATCCTCGTGGTCGTTCAGATTGAGTGGAAAAAGCACTTGAGGTTACACTAACTACAGATTCCATATCAGAATCACCAAAATCACCCATAAAATCTTTATCTGGTGATAGTGAATGCCTAGGGCGAAACCTTGAATCCATTGAATGTAAATCACTATCAGATAAACCGGTATAATGACGTTCCCAACCGCCCATACCAGTGCTGCGATATGTCGCTTGATGATGTACTTGACGAGTTCGATGTCGTCCGAATCTACTACCTGGTATTCTTTCCTCAAATTCTTGACCCAGACGATCACGTATCATAGCACTGCGCGATGATTGAGGAACCTAAAAAATATTATTAAAAAGAATGAAAAATTGTCAATTCATTTTCCAAATCATTTATGTATTTTTGTTGCAAATAATTATGTACGGCTTATAAGTAATCCGAAAATTTAAAAAAAAAAAAAAACAATAAAAAAAAATGATAATAATATAATCATATTTATAGTTTAGAAAGCAAAAAACAAAATCAAATTTTTAATATTTCCATGTTTTGAAAAAACTAATATCAACTAAAAATTTCATGAATTTGAGAATTTTGTGAAACTTAATTATAAAAATTTACATCATAAAAATATTAGAAACTATAGAAAAATATAATTGTTTTGTTTTTACATATAGATACACAAAACAAAAGTTTATAATAATGATAATCGCACGCATTTAAAATTTATTTAAGGAAAAATATATATATATGTATGTATATAAACAATATTTTATAATAGCGATTTGCTCAGTTCACATATTATGCATTCTACAATTTCATGGAATATTTTTACCTGTTACATTTTTACAATTTTCGTTATGTTACAATCTTTAGTTGATTTGAAATACAAACAAGTAGAAACTTTAAACACCAACCTAAAAATACTTCATATAATTTTGACATTAAATAGTCAAAGAGGCATTTTTGCAGATTGCAAAGAGGCAATCTGTTATTTTGTTCATTTTTAGTATCTGCAAAAGCTCATTTCTATTGATCACAAGCATTTTGATTATTTCAAATCGTCTCCTTATTTTCATTTTTTTAATTTTTTTAATGCTAAAATTTATTTTATTTTTGCATTTATATCCAATATATATTATGTACTTTATTTATATATTAAAGTTAAAAATGCAAAATATAAAAATTTAAAAAAAATATTTTAATCCTACATTTAAGAAAAAAATTTCAATGCAAAAGAAAATATTAAGGAAATCATTAATGTTACAAAAATTTTAATTTTTTTTTTTAATTTTTTAATATATACTTTGTAACTAAAAAGTAACAGGCAAAATAAGATGCAATTTTAATTCTAAAATATATATGAACTGTATTTCTACATTTTATATACTACCAAATTATTTTAGCTCTAAACAAATTTAATTAAATTTTTTTGTTTCCTTTGAAATGTTTTAATTTACTTTTTTTTTAAACTCTGATAGAATTTCGATCAAGAATGTATGTTATATAATGATTTTTTGTTGTTTTGCATAAATTGTGTTTTTTTTCTTTGCTAAACTTTTATAATACAATAGATTTGGAAGCCTTAAATATAGTAGCTTTGGTTGATTAATCTATAAAGTTTTGTAAAACTTTCTGCTATTTATATATATATATGTATATACATGCACTTATATCTCGTATGAAGGTATTTCAAATGCTAAATATATATTATACATAAAACTTATAAATTAGAAAAAACATTTACACTTTGAATAAAAATTACATGTAGATTGTATGAAAATTTTATATACTGAAGAAGTATATTGTACAGTGATCTTTACCGGTTATTTTTTTTAAATTTTGAATGTTTAATTGACAAAATATTAGAAATTAATTTACAAAAATATAATAGATTTCCGATAATTTGCTTTTTCGTTCAAAATCTATTTAAGTATTGTAACAAATAAACTTTGGGGAAAAATGTAAAGCGATAAAGTATGTTAATTAAAATAATAAGGTAGGAAAGCCTTAGACATACTCTTATATGAAATTCTGAAATTCGGAAACTCATGTTTCTTTGAACAAAATAAGTAAAATACACTAAAAAGACGGCATCGTGAGTAACGTTATTATGAAATAACAACTTAACAATTGATAAAACTAAAAAATATATACAGAAAACATTTGCTGCGCTTCGGAACGTAATTGTAATTGAACACACTATAGAGATGAAATCAAGCAAATCAAATTCAGCAACTCGGCTTCAGTTTCTATTGAACAGATTTAAATAAAAAATTTATACATAAGCTTATTTTTGGATGGAACAAGTTTATAAACCTTAATCTTAAATTCCAGCAGATGAACATAATCAGTTTAAGAAAATAATAATTAACTAATTTTTTTTATATTTTATACACATTTAGATTTTTAAAAAATTTGATTTTAGGTTCACGCGCTTTGAACTTTTACATGCGACCGAATTTATGCGACCTTTGTTCAATATAAAACAAGTAATGAACTTATTTCCCTGTAAACGAGCTGTTAAAAGAAAAACTTTTTAAAAAGGATAACCTTCTGAAAGTAAATTTTTTTTATACGCAATCGGGCAATTTTCAAACTACACACATGTATATATATGTTGATTTGAAGCATGTGAAATTGAAGTATATAAATCAGAAGTGTAAATTTTCAAATCAGAAGTCGCTAATAAACTTATTATATGTATGTACATATGTGTTTGTGTATAATGCAAATTTGATATTCAATTCAACACAACTTCAAAAACTTTGTATTATGTATATATTTTGCATATTATTACCCAATGCATCCAACATATTTATACATCCTGCACCAAAATATTTAGTTGTTTTTCTTTTGAAGCATTTACTATGTTTATTAACGTTACAAATAATGTACAGATACTGAAAAAGCTTTTAAAGTATTAACAAGTACCAGTTGGAACAGACTAAAATATGTATTGCGATCGATCAGCCGATTTACAAACTATTCCGATCTGAACAAATTTTTTTTTTTTTAAATGGAAAAAGCAGGTAATAACTTTAATAAAAGATCAAAATTTTCAAGTACAATAAAACAATATTTATTCATTACTCTATATATTATTTTGCAAAATAATCCATTTTCCCTCTTCACCCAGGCCGACTTGTTTAGCTATTTTGGTAAATTCATTCCCCGAAAAAAGGAAAAATATATATATATATATTTATATATGACACAGATGTAAATAATTTGCGAATAAATTATTACATACACTCCAACAAACAAAAAAGGAAAGTATACAATCTTACCTGTGGCAGTTGTCTCTTTTTTGGCGAACCAGTTGGTGTGGCAGTTGCTGAACGCGATTGAAAACGTGAAGTATTATAAGCTGATGATATATTAGCGGTTGCAGATGATGTGTTACCAGATGATGTTGAATGCTGTGATTGAATTGGAAGAACTGGATAATCAATATATCGATCGTCTGGTGGTGATAGTGAACCACGACGTGGACTATTACTACGATGATGATGGTAAGTATCGCTTGGTGCAGCCGAATGACTCCTTTGACCTAAACCGATACTACCACCACCATTACGTCGTGGTTGATAAACGGAAGAAGAAATGGATTGCTGCTGCTATATATATATACATGTACACATATATATATACATATATATACGTATATATATAAATATATATATATATATATATATATATATATATATATATATATATATTATAAAATTAAATTTTATATTCTTTATAGCATTTATGTATAGAATAGTTTTTTTTATAATGTAAATTAATAGTGAAAAGCGTTTTTTTTAATTAAAAAAATTATTAAAAAAAATGTATTACAAATTTTTACACTAAAAATATAAATTAAAATTATAATAAAAATCCAAAAACTCTACTACATTTTTAAAAGAAAATATATGAATTTTTAAAAAGATGTAAGAAGAGCAACAGTGAGGTATAAAATAAGGTGCACTGAAACTTAATAAATTAATTTGTTTGGTTTCTGAAGTTAAAAATGTTGTTTAACAATGAATTGGTGTGAATAAATTTTATAAAAACTCAAGCAAACTAATTTTATTTTAGAATATTTATTTTTATTTCGCTAGTTTTTAATTATAGAGAAACATTTAGATCTTTAAAATAAAAAAAGAAGAAAATTAAAATTTAGCAACAAAATATTTCCGTAAGGAAATAAAACGAACTTTAAAATTTTAAAGTTTAAAAAAATTTAAACTTTAGTTATAATAATCAAAAGATATGTATGCATATTTAATGTTTTTTTTTTGTGATTAATTTATGAAAAATGGTTGATTAATTAATTTTATTGATTCAACGTACGAACGTGTTTATTCTTTCTTTCACCTTTTTTCTGTATGCTGACAGATAAATTTAATGTGTCATTCTATTTATCGTCTCAATTTCTATAGATAATTCTAAGATTAACTGATGTTATTGAAATGGGAAGTTATTTGAAATAACAGTGTTATATACTTCTAATTCTTGAATGTATCTCTAATCTAGTTACAGTGATAAGTATATCCAACTAAACATACTATTAATATATATCCAACTAAATTAACTTAATAAAAAATAGAAGTTTACTCAACTAAAATAGAAAATAAAGACGATAAATTAAAAAATGCGGTGTTACACATTATGCCCCACAAATCTATAAAAAATATTTCATGGTCAAAAAAATCTATCGTTTTAGAAAAATATCACAAATTGCTTAAAATCAATAAATTTTTATCTGATCTTCTTTATAATTGAAATATTACATACTTGTATCCCACATAAGAAAGCAATAATAAGACAGAAAATCAGCTTTTATACCTTACGTTCTTCGCATATGAAAAAATTTTTGTTGAAAAAATATTTTCAGACGTCATATGACATTTGATATTTATGTAATTTAAAAATTTTGATGTCATTTCTTAAAAAACATTAAAACGTTTACTGACAGTAATTGATCTAGAACTTATCCGTGTTAAAAACGTAAATATAAACTGGTGCTTGTTCACATTTTACGTAACGCTCTAGTTGGGAGGTGTTATGGATTTTGTCAAAAATCTATATTACAAAGAAATTTTATATGAATGCATTGATGATCTTCTCTTAACGATCAACAATTTATTTTCATAAACTTTTGTTTTATAATATTAACTATAGTTTTGTTTGAACTTAATTTGGACATTGACTTTTACTCTGACATTTTACCTCTTTCAAACTCATAAATAAGAAACATAAAATACATTTATATTAAACCCTATATCTTCACCATTGTTTTCTATACATATTACAATTTTTGTTTTTGTTTAATTATTTTTTGCTATTACCTGATTATGATAACTTGGTGCTATTCCGGATACTGTTCTATAGTCACGTGCTACCATGCCAGCCACTCGTTTGCGGCCTTGTGGTGACATATCACGTCGCGAACGACGTTCGTACGATTCAACCTAAATTCGAATATAAAAATGAAATCATGAAGAAATTTTTTTTTCTATTTACTTTTGTTTTTTTTTTAGGTTTTCAAGCATTTTTTTGAATATTCAGTTTTATTTCTTTATTCCTAAATAAGGACTTTGCTAAATTTGTTAAGAAATTGGGAAAATATTTTTCATGCATTATTTTATGATTTTATAAATAATAACGACAGAGAAAATATTTTTACAAAAACAAATAAACATTTTCAAAGCCATAAATATATAAATATAAATATCCAAATGCATACCAGCCTAACCGATACTGTTTAACACATTAATTTGACGTGACAACGATAAAATATTTGCAACAAATTAGGAAAACAAATTCAAAATTTCTACAAGCTTATATGTACATATGTACATACATATAAAATAAAACAAAAATCGAAAATATACACATAAAAACTTTTGTATATGTAGTTGATATTATACAATACAATGTATGCTATGTGTTGTGTACAACTATTAACAATCTTCCATTATTGTATATGAATGATAATTTTTGTTCATCCCTTTGACTTTTTCAAATGCCTCTATAAGCATTGCATTTAAGGATTCTAAGGATCTTCCTCATTTCTTTATAATTTCATGCGTAACAGAAAGTCACGACAATAAAAAATAATTAACTAATAAGTTAATTTGTTGAATTTAATTATGAAAATGAAATGGTAAGAGATTACACGATTTTATTTTAATTTTTATTTTTGACAACAAATATTCAAAATAAAAATTTGACATATTCTGTAAAAAAAATTTAATTAAATTCATAGTTTGAAACAGGTGCCGATTTTTACTTAAATTTTTGTCATTCATACATCAATTTTTGTAAAAGATATGTGCATATGAATTTATTTGAAGATCACTTTGAGAAATTCTTGTTGTATTGGAAATTATTAACGACTACAAATGCTAATTATTTTATTTAATAATATTTTTTGAGTTCTAATTTTGATAATACATATATAAAATATTTCGATATATTTCATGCTCATGTAGTTCTACTATAAAACAATGAACTTTGAAGAGGAAAAATAACATAATATAGAAAATTATATTGTTTAAAGCAGGGAAATTCAAACAAATAATCTTGAACATTTGAAATAAATATGTGTAGATGCTATTAGTCTTTAACATAAATTTGTATAGTATATAATGCAAATGTGTTTAAATAATTTTTACTACTTATGTAACATATACATATTGTTTGTTAAAGTGTTTATTAGTTTCATTTAATTTTAAAAATTCTTATTATTTTTAAAATTTTTTTCTTTAATACTCTACTCCGCTCTATTCTGCGCTATATAATTGCAAATGGTTTTTATAGCTATATTTTTATTTAAACAGAAATATTTATATACGTATTTATAAAAGAATATTTTTGCATTGAATTTCTGTTCTTTTATGTACATAAATTTAAATTGCACTACTGTTTAAATATTTTGTTTGTTCTGTTGTACAAATTTCTTTTAAAATTAGTTTTTTTTTACAAATAATATACAAATTACGCTTGAAAAATTGAAATAACTTTTGAAATCTTCCAATTTTTTACATTTTATTTACATACAAACGTTATTGTATTATTTACAATAAAAATAATTCTTATACTTAATGAAATATTTCAGCATATTTCACCAATTTATATAAAATACAATGAATGTATACCACGGCATTTACGGTACGGTTTTTATTTAAATGCAGATAAAGGGTGGTAGGTTTTCGGGTGAGGACGTGTGGGGACGAGTAGGAGGAGGGCGAGTGGAAGGTGCTGGTTTTTTTAAATTGTTATTATTTATTAATATTTTCATTTTGTTGTTCTTCCTTTCTCTTTTATTGGATAATCCTTTGAAGTTTATTTTGCATATCACAATTAACTTTGGCTAAAGCGAAACGTGGCTGCAGACAATTCCTTCACATTTTCTTCACAATTTCGGCATTCAAGGACACAACTAAGGCTTAATAATATTTGATATCATAATTTTTGTTAACGTAATCAAAAATATATTGCGTATTATAAATACATTGCGGAATGTTATTGTAAAATATTTCAATATTTACGTAAGTATGAATAAGTACATTGTAAACATACATAACACACGAGTATAAATAAGTATAAGCATATTGTAAACAGTAAGTAATTAAATAAAAAATTCAATATTTAATTTACATAATTTACATATTAATTTCTAATATTCATTGTAAAAATTAATTTTGCATATTAGATTTCTTAAAATAATTTTTTTAAAAAATAAATTTGTTCTTAATTGTATGTTGAAAATGTAGTTCACAATTTGCTACTTGGTTATCAAAGAACTTCATCGTACAATTAAACATTACTTTTGTTGTAATAATGTTTTATTTAATTTTGTTATTGGTTTCACTCTAACATATTGTTGTTAAACGTATATTAGTAATTATATTGTATTATATTTATCTTTTCTAAATATTAAAATCTTAATTTAAAATTGAATATTAAATTAGTTCTTAAACAATATTGAATAAATAAAGGCTAAAATTTAACAACCCCTTTTTAATATTGTTCCTGATATAATTTTTATAATTGTTGGATATCACAATTACTTGATCTCCTTAGTCTTATTATACATAATAGTCGAATACTAGCTATATTGCATAATTATTTTAAATTTTTCCAATTGACTTTTGTTAATTTTATAAATAAATTTTAATAATTTAATAAACAATTTACACCTACATATGTATCTACACTTATTATTAGATTTTCATAATACATGATACATAAAAATTTAACCCTTATTTATTATAAATATATATAGGGCAACAAACTCAGTTTTCATTTAAAACTTTGCATATTAATTAAATTATTTTTTTGAGTGTATTTTAGGTTATAACAAATTTGAAATTCCATTCGAATTCAAACGACAAACTATACAAAATTATATACACACATACATATGTTTGTACATATGTAAAATAATTTAAATCAATTAACTCACTATCCGTGACTTCAAAATTGCAGTAATATTGTATTGCTGCACATTTCAGCAATTAGAACAAATGAGCTGAACTTATATTAATAACGTTTTACTGCAATTTTTAAGTATCTGTATTTAAGTTACTTATTTGAAAAGTAAGTAATGAAAATCTGCACTTTGACGTCGACAGTTTGTAAGATCGATGATTACTATAATGCGCACTCAAAAGATAAGGCTTTTTAGTTAAACCAAACTATTCTATAAAAGTAAAATATGTATAAATTTTTAATATTTTTTTATATGTATAAATTAATATACGTACAAAGGCGTACTTGCGATCTTGTATATGTATTTACATTGAAAACATAATTTTGTGTTATATTATGAAATAATGATAGAAAATAAAAGTGTTGACAACAATATATTTTAACAATTTTAAATGAATAATATTGAAAAACACACTGATGGGAACTGTTATATGAACAAGAAACAATGTGAGACATAAAAACTATCAAAATTAATATATAGATGACTATTATGAAAATGGGAATATTAATAAAAACTATAATAATTTTTCTATTAAGGATAATGGCAATGACTTTATACTCCACAAAACTAAAAATATGTGACAAAAAATAAAATAATGCGAAAAATGATAAAGAAAAAATATAACGTTACAGATAACACGTTAAAATATATTATACACTCATGAATGTATATAATATAAAGTGTACAATATACAATTACAACAGAAGTAATTAATAGTTCAAGAGAAGAAAAAAAATTTGCACACTAAGATTTTAGATTGCCATTTATGTATGTATATGCATTATATTTAAAATATATATTATAAATAGCACACAAAAATAACAAATTGCAAGTTAATAAAAATTCTTCAAATCCACCGCAGACAATAGTACAGTACAGCCTACAAACAGACCATATTAAAAGATTTTTGTTTGCAGAACAAATCATATACAGTAGAAGAGAGAAAAATAGCACGGTAAAGAAATTTTACAAAAAAGAAATTGAAGATACTAAGAAATACAAATTTGTTTTTATTGTAAAGATCATAAAGATGTCTGTGTACAATGGATTATAGAATTAAAGGGTATAGAAACAAACAACAGTTACATTTATATTATATTCAAGAAAAAAACAAAACACGAAACTAGAAATAAAATTTTTTGGCGTTTTTGTATCTCTGTTTTTTTATTTCTTATTTTAATACTTTATAGATTATAGTCTCTTATTAGTTTTGTTTTTACCTCTGGCGGTGGGCTAGATGAGCTTCCTAGTGATGATATACTGGCACCATCACGGCCAGTTGTAATTCCATCAATATCGCACTCAGATGTTGTGTCTGAGTCACTTAAGCGTGATGTTGTACTTGGTGGTGATAAATGATCAGTCGGCGTTAATATAATTTCCATTTCACCAGGATCGTCTTTACGTAACTACAAGGATAAGTACTTGGTTGTTTGTTTTCTTCTTTTTTACGTTATTTTTTATTCAAAATTGTGTGTTTTCTTTAACTTATTTTTTTATATAGGAATGTGATAATTTTGAAAGTTATTTCGAATTAGAAGCAAATAAAATTTATACTTGTGTTTTAAAATGTACACATGTTATGTATACTATATACAAAGATTAATATTTTTAAAGAGCCCAAAAATGTTTTATTTAATTATCATAAAAACTGTACATCCTTTCCGTTATAGGAAGTGCAATTTCTAACTCTTCCAAAATCATCGTTATTATAATATTATTATTTTAGTATATTTTAATATACTTGTATTTGTATGTATATATATATGTAAAAAGCCTTTTAAAATAATCATCAGAAGTTTATTTATTTAAGTTGAAGATGATTAATTTAAGAAAAATTAAAAACAATTAAAAATTAAATAAAATTTCAATGTGTTTTCATGAATAGATTGAGTTGAAATAATACTGTATTATAACAAAATTCTGCAATTAGTACTTAATATTACTTGAAATGTATTATTATGCTATATTATTATAATTTAAATATCAGTAAAACGTGAAAACAATCATCATAATAAAATGTTTACGTTAAATGGAAAACATATTTATGTATTCATATTTTAATGGTTTTTTAATTAAAATTATACATGTTGTTAATGATTTAATCAAATTCAAAGTTATTATTAGTTTTTTTATAAACTCAGTGTAAACCCAATTCAACTGGTTGACTTATATCAGTAAATATACGACATTTAGTGGCTCTTTAGGCTTATAATGAATACATCATATTCGAATTGAATAAATTTGGAAAATATGTGTAGAACAACGAATCTCCAAAATTAACTTAATAAAAAAATTAAGTTGTAATTGTTTTTAGTATTTCTTATAGAAATCCTCGTAACTTTGTTGTGAAAAGTTTTTATTTATTTTTATTGAAAAATTTTTCTTATAATATTTGTAAAATCTTTTTCTTTCAAACTAGTTTCCACCGTTACGCCAGGGACTACGTTTCAACCTTTACGTATTACTGAGTAATATTTAGTCTGATGACGTTAAGGCCGAAATTAGTTGGAAAATAATAAATAGTATAGAAATTTATGAAACTAAAAGTAAATAAATTCTAGAAACATAATAAGAAAATTTTTTTATAATAATAAATAAAAAAAAGGTAATTAATTTTATTTATACCAATAATAAGTTATTGGCAAATGTATATCTAGGGAACTGCACATGTAACCAGTTCCTAAATTGGTTTAATTAGTTCGCTCATTAGTCAGTTCAGCCAATTGAATTGAAATTTTAAAACAGAATTTACTAGTAGGAAATAGAATTTTTAATAGCGCGTTATATATATGTATGTATATATCCCCGATATAAATAACAAATTTTGGAAATAAATCTTTCCATTTATTTATTAATATCTGAATCTATTTAGAGTCTAGCAATCATAGAACTGCTTACATTTTTAAGATTAACAAAAAAGTAAAGAAAAAATTAATTAAATTTATCAAAAAGTTTAATAAAATAAAGCAAATAAGTAATAATAAATCAAAAGTACATAGATTAAATGTTTCTATAATAAAATTAAGGAGGCAGTTGACTTTATTTGTATCATATTTACACAAATGTATTTTTTTCATTTACATAATCAACTAATTGTTAATTCTATTCATTTTTTACACTCAATATATTTTTCATAATAACAGAGATGCCAACACACACAATATGAAACCGTCGAAGGTATTCTTTATATGAAATCCAAAAAATTTCATAAACATTTGTTTTAAAAAATACTATATGTTTGGATTCAATTACGCAAGTCGACCGTAATCAAAATTTACTCATCTTGAAAAGGTCGAATAACTCATAAAACGTCACACTTTTATGGAAGGCGATTTCATTTAACAGACTTACTCAAAAGACTTACGCAATACTGTGATAGAAATCTTAACAGCCATTATTGAATAAATTCGATTCTGGATAGATTTCCGCAATTGACTCCTTAGTAAATGTAATTTACTCGTTTTAAAAAATAATTAAACCTATTCTACAATTCTACTTCTTATTTAAAATTTGTATATTAATGATATATACATATTTAATTGAATAAAATATCCTTTCTATTAAATGTTTATCTAATATTTATATATATGCTATGATTATCTAATATTTACATATACATTTGTATGGTAGGTATGCATATGAGTTAAAAACATATCCATGGCGAATATATTATTGTAAATCATGAATATGCGAATATTATATAATTTATTGATTTATTTAACGTACGTATATATATGTACATAAATGTGTTCAATTTTATATATAAATAATTTGAACATTTAATTAAATCAAGTACCTATCAACTAACAATATTTGATGTTGTATTACGAAATGACTATATATTATAATTATGTTATTACGCAAAAGTACATACATATATATAACATAAATTTGGAGATGCATAACTTAATATTTTATATATTTTATATTTTATATGTATATATATATATATATATATATATATAAATATTATATACTTTATATATGCCTTCAGATTTTACTTTAAATCTTTTTATTCGTTTTCTTTTTTTGTTATGTCGTTTGACTTTTTTTTGTTTTTTTTTTTTTTGAGAGTGAAACCTACGATATGACTCGATTCCTGATGATTTAATAAGGGATACCATTCAGCTTCATCATCTAATATATGTTGCGTCAAATCAATTAAAACTTCTCCTAAAAATTCGTTGGCACCATAACGGATATAATCCCATACAGTTATCTAAAATTTGTTTAAGAATATATTTTGCATAAATATGTATATAACAAATCTTATTAGAATAAAAATATGAAAATTTTTTAAATAAATGTCAATTATATTTAATACTTCTAAATATCGATGATTTAAATCTGAACGTCTGAAAGCAGTATAAACGAATGTTTGACCCCAACGTGGTTCGCAAGTATTTGCTAGAGTTTTAGTTCGTCGTTTCGATTTATTACCGCGGTCTGGCAAAAGGAAAACCTAAAATAAAATTTAGTGTATAAATCAAATTTTTATTAAAATTACATTTAAAAATAATTATGTATATGGCAAAATTTAATCTCAAAATTTTGAAAAAAGAATCAAATTTTAAAAATAATCTTATTCAACATTTTAAGGGGAAAATTACACAGGGTGTACAACAGTTTCAATCAAAATATATAATTATATTTTCCGATTTTCTGCCAACATTTTCTTCTTTGTATATAACCAAAGTATTTAGTTTAGCATAAAGTCTTAAAGTTTCAAAAAATGGAAAAACAAAAAGTGAATATTTTCTTATTTATAGAGGCTATATTCTGAAAATATCTGAACAAGTTAAGAGATTCAACAATCACGATTTAATTGGCTTAGAAGGTTTTAAAATAGTCTTCAAATTTAAGGTTTTTACTTTTTCTTTTACTTTCTTTTCGTAATAATATTATAACTTGTGTCCGCCCGCTTCTCTGTCCGTGTGTCTGCTTACAAAACTTCTACACACTTGCAGAAACATCATAGATCTTTACTTAAGACTTATTTCGGCAGAAGAAAATTTTTACCTATCTCCCCTCCTCTAAAAGTAATAACCCCTCAAAGACCTAAAAAATCCAATTTTTTGACTACTTAGTTTAAAGAAACCAAAGCATTTTCCCACCTCCTCTACTTCTCAAGTTATTACCTCTTGAAATTTGGAAAATTCGAATTTTTTGCACCTTATAATTGCGAAGCTGCCAGCTTTTCCAAGTTTATATAAATGCAGAAAGCTAACGGTAAATGCCATGCTATGCAGAAAGGTAACGGTAAATGCCTTTTTTTTATACTTGGGAAATATAGCCAAATAAGTTTTGTAGGGGTAAACAAAATTTTTCTTCCAGAAATAAAAATTGCTCTATTCTAAATCCCTTGCAAAAATTTATTTGTGGAAAAATTTTATTCATTTAATTTTTATCTTAGAGAAGATAGATGTTTTATAAATATTTACGCAAAGCATATTATATGCATTTAATTCCAACATTGCTAGCAATATGCTAAAAATAATATGCTGCCTTATATAAAATTTATAAAATATCATTTATAGTTGATACGAAGATGAAAAAATTATATAGCAAAAATTTATTGAACTAACCTTTGCATATGGATTTCTTGCAGTACCATTTCCTCTCAGTGTCAAGCCAGCTGCGCACACTAAAGTAACAATAAACTGTAGTGTATTTTTATCATATCCTAATTTCAGCTGTACCCGTCCATCAACATTTGTTTCGTTATGTACATTTCCGAGTAAGCCATAATGGCCCGCATTATGGTGAAAATGTTGCGAAAGATGATGATATTGTTGTTGTACCACACCCACGTTTGCTGTAGTTAATGTTGATGGTGGTGGTGGTTGTGGCAATGGTTGAATACCACTTGGTACTAATCTTTGCCCAGATAAATAACGGCCACTTCCACCACCACCAACACCACTAATACTAGTTTGCCGCCCGGATGATTGTAAATCTGGCGAACCAGGTGAGGTTATTAGTACACTCGGTTTGTCTCGATGAATTTCGATTGTGTCAGCTAAATTATATAATAAATTATAATATTATATTGTAATATTTGCGTTTTTAGATTCTATATAAAAACATATTTTGTATATATACATACATATATATACATACATATATGCATACATATAATATATATATATATAGTATATATATATATATATATATCTATATATCTATATATATATATATTATATATATATATATATATATATATATATATATATATATGTATATAAAGGTATGTATGTATGTATATGCAAAATTGTAATTCTGATTTCTTTTTTTTTGGAAAATTATAGCTAATTCACCAACTTAATATAAATATTGTAATATTAATTAATGTAATTAATAAAAAAAAAATTAATACTTATTTTGTATGTTTTTTTTAAACATTTAAAATTTGTCATGATTTTACAAAATTATCAAATTAAATAACAGAAAATACGATAATAATAACAAGAAAAGTATTTTAAGAGTATATGCAATTGTTTATTTAAGAAATAAAAAGTTAAACTGTAATGTAAAGAATTAATTTTTATAAGAAGGGTTGTGTGACTGTTCAGTTGTGTTGAAATAGTGTTCAGTGATGTTCAAATATGATTTAATGTTATTTTATTCAAAGCTTTTATGTCTTAATACTGTTGCTTTCCACATTTTCATGAAACTTTTAATTTAACATACATATGAATATATCATTGATGTCATTAATTCATGCATAAAGTTTTCAATCAGTATTATTCAATTAATAACGCAAATTCAATACAATTTTTATCATCAAGTTTTCCTATATATGTATGTTCATACAAATTATGTCGTAATAATACTGATATTCTCAAAATATTTCAATAATTAATTCTACAATATATATGTACTCGTATGTATGTTTATTATTATAGAAGTACATGTAATACCTTTTTTGTGATAGTGTGTCGGTGAATGAGATTGTCGCCAAGATGTTTGTGCAGCTCTTCGATTAGTTGTTAGCGATCTGGACACAATTAATTCAACTTGGGGTTCATGTCGACTTCCATTTATAATATCAAAAACCTCTTCAACAGATTTATTGTACAAAGAACGACCATTCCATTCAATAACTTCATCACCTTTAATTATTTTATTTTATATACACACACCATATATATATACATATACATATAAGTATAATCAAAATTTTACATTTTTGTTTTCGTTATTTTGTTTTGGATTTTGATGAACACAATATTAAGTTTTGTATAATTTCGATTTTGAAGTTAACACTAATGACAAATTTTATTAAAATTTGTAGTCCATGCTTGTTCAAAGTATTATAGAACTTATTATACATATATAGAATATATATAATATTCATTTCATATAATATAAAGTAATAACAATTTTGAGAAATTTTGGCGAAGACCAAAAACGACCTCATTATCTACGAGTATTTATGTATGTATGTATTTATAAACATACACACATATTTTATAATGTAAAACTTTTGCTATAATCAACTGCAAGCACAGACTTTTCCCTTGCACATTATACGTATTATGCATTATTGCTATTTAAGCGACGTGCATTACCCATATATTAATTTGGTAGGAATATATTATAAAAAATTTTAATTTTTATAATTATTTCCAAAAATGTTATTAAAAAATTAATCATATAATTCACGAAGCAATATACTGTAAAGTTATTCGCGACATATCATGCAATTTTATTTTTACTCTTTTATTACTTTCGTTTCAATCTTAATCTTATAGCAATAATAAATTTTATTTAAAACTAAGTGCCAAGTTTTCTCAATAAAATGACAACCAAACAAAATAAGAACAAGTAAAAACTTTTCAGTCGAACTAGACCGACTGAATTATACCCCTGCATCTTGGCAATTTAGAATTAGCTTTCATGGTTATGTGGCAGTCACTCGGATCTGTCCTTAAAAACTCCCGGATATATCAACCTAGGATTCGACACCCAAGTTTCATGAATGTAAATATATTATTTTTCCGAATATTTGAAATTAGCTTTTACAGTTGTATATGGCAGGTAGCCGAACCTGTTAGGTCATTATATAAGAACTTCAAGGATAGCTATGGGTTATAGTTAGAACCAGGACTGTAAAATTTTGCGCAGCTAGCTTATTATTTGCTTAGTTTGATGATGTTTGTGTTATTAGTTTTTAAATAATCGTATGACCAGACGAACACACGGGCGGACATGTCTAAATCAACGCAAAATTTTACAAACTCCATACAAAAGTCAATATAGCCTTTAGGGGTAGAGCCCTGATTTTGTTTCGCCCGAATATTGGGCACCAGGCCGGGAAGATTGGAAGATGGCAGCACTTATGTATACTAACCGTACGGGTGAGGAAAGCATTTGGTACTTCCCAATCTTTAAGGCGCCGATAGTAGATGTGATATCGCGATAGTAGATGTGATAGACTAGAAGTGGTGTAGCCGCACCTTATATCAGTATTTAGGAACAACTTGGCCCTCAGGTATATTCCCAAATCCTGGCCGTTGACCCGAGTGATTTTCATGCCCAAGATCCGGAAGAGGAACTTAACGCCTACGTCATTGAGAGCATAGAAGAAGTAGTAGATAATCATATTAAAACGTCGGTCTTGCTGGAGAACCCATTAAATGGTGATTAGCAGGCATGCCAGCCGGGAAAATCTACGGAGACCGCTTTGTATCGACTAACATGTGTTCTAAGAAGAACGTTTGAACACGGAGAAAAAGAGATATTCGCATTCTTAGATGTTGGCAACATTTGCATGATGCAATAGACGGGACTCAAGCGGACTACACCTCGTTATGGATGGGTAAAATGTTGACTACAAGGGCGGCAGAGGTTAAGGGCGAGAAAAAAGACCATAAGAATATATGTGGCCAGGAGATTCCCACAGGGTGCGGTATCGCCTCGTCTGATACAGATCCTTATTCTGGATGGTCTCCTGAACGAGCTGCATCAGAAGCATCGGCATCTAGGTTATAAATATAGCCACTCTAACTTTTCAAGCATGTTATGACTGCTTTAAATTTTTGACATACTCGATGTATATGTATTATCAACAATGCCATATTAGAAAAGGAAAGAGAGCTAACGATTAGTGAATGAATCGTGAATTTAAAAGAATAAACATACATTATGTATATATGTATGTTTGTATGTACATAGAAATTTGATTAATTTAAAAGTGACATTTCTTATTAAATTTTTCTATTGATTGGTATTATCTATACATACATACGTATTTTCATACATCGCGCACTTATATTATTTTCATACTCTCCTTGATACTAACGCATACAAACACAAAATGTTCACAAACATACATAAATATTTACAGCTTTTAATTTTTATTATTAGGTATTTATGTATTTTACTTTATTTCTGCCTTCTTTTCGTTTATCAATAAAAATGGTATATAACATTTGCATGGTAACGTTGCATATAAGTATTAAAATTTGTACGAAAAATCGAAAAATATGATTGTATTTGTACAGGCAAACATATATATGTATAACCTTAATAACCGTTATCGATTTGCTCTCTTTCATTGACCCAAATAAAAAAAGGTTTTGTAGTTTTTCTTTATTTTTTTTACACATTTTTGGTTTTAACATAGTAGAACAAACATTAAATTTGGAGTTTTTCATTTTAATATAATAACATAATAAATTAGTTATTCTGACACCTGTAATGTTAATAATATTTAAAAATTCATTCATTGTATGTACACATGAATATTTAAAAAAACAAAGATTTAATTAGCAGCGTATATGTTTGTATAGTCAAGAAATATAAATTATTTGTAAATATAAATATAAACTCATACAACACAATTCTCATTTCAGTTTTCATGGCATATAGCTCAAGCAATTGAAGCCTCTACATAGTGAAATAAAAGTCATTGTACATGATTTAGGGCTAAAGAAAAACCTGACATCTTCTATAAAAGAGCATTAATGTTCAAACGTAAATTCAAAAATTAAAATTTAATAAATTTTAATTAGAAAACCGGTTTTTTAAATGACATTCGCAAAAAAAAAAACGAATTAAACAAAAATTTAAATCAAATCGTCAAGTAGTAAAACTTTACATTATTCCATTCCTTAAAAAAATAGTTCTAAATGTAACGGTTATAATCATGTTAGTTTCATTTCAGAAAAACTTTTGTAACAATTATTAAAATCTAAAAATATAAAATTATTACATTCTAAAAAAAGAAACTCGTATATTGGAAAAATTTTTTAAAAAGTTGCAGAACATATTTTCAAAATAATATCAAAATGCAAGCCTACTTAACTTTTTTATGCTTCCTTTTTACATAAAAACAGGTAAAGACTGAGTAAACCGTGCCTACTCGTAATTCTATGATACCCTTACGAATGTTCGTCAAGTAACAGTTGACCTAATTTTTATCAGGTGCACCACCAATTGATAAACTTACTCGTTTTAAATTCAAGGGAGGCAGTATGTATAACGTCACATTAATACTTTCACGTTTTTGCAGTATTTAATTATAAAAAAACTTTGTATTAATTTATACATTGAACGGCATTTTAGCAAAGTAACACAATATGTAACCTATGTACTGCATTTGTTACCACAAGTGCCTAATAACCTGATTAGACTTTTAATACACTATTTTTGTATGAAACTAAAAAATTTAACCAAAATATTTATTACTTTTAAGTAATATTGTAGTTATAATTATGTACATACATATACACACATTTTTAACGTGTGCAGTAGAACATTGAATCTACAAATATGGCAATTTGAGTATAAGTAAAGCGTCTCTCTTTTATTTTTCTTAATCTTATGTGGTACTGACTATGCAATTTAATATTTAATTTGTGAGCAGTCGGAGCTTTAAAGGATCCTATTAGAAGAATTAATAATAGGCAAAATGTCTAAAATAACAAAAAAAAAAAACAAAAGAAAAATTCATACCTTACATGCATAGTTTATAAAAGAAACTACAAATTATTTGAGAATATTTAGTCACCCGTTTCAGGAAAAATTGACCAGACAATAACGTACAGGAAAAACGTATAGCAGATATAGCGATGTTTTTCAGTTATGTGAGAAACCATGGTGTGAAAAAAAGTTTAGGTTCATATTAAGGCCGCTTTACTGGAATAATAAAGAAAAAACTTGAACCCTGAAAAACTGAAATCGACCCTGAAAGTGGATTGATTGTGTCCTCCCTTCCACTCGTACTCCCAAAGTGCTCTCTCGCGATGTATTCTTCTGACAAATTCGAGTATCTTCTGGAGATCGAGTTCTCGCTAGTCACTTGCTGAGAGAATGTAAACACATAGAGACTCCCTTCAGATATAGAGAAATATCCTTATATTGACTTCACTTGAATTAAGTTTTTTTATTACTACTACTTTACCTTATTTTACTAAATTTAACAACAAAAAAGGAAAAACTTTTTTATCATGTCATAACAATTAAAAATAATTAATTTGTAATTTATGTTATTAATTATGGCTCTTTTTGAGTTTGTTACGCAAATAAAAAAAAAAGCGTTATTATTTTTTCTTGTTATCTATCTTTACAGCAACATCATTTTTTTTGTGTTCACTATACCATTTTTGGTTTTAAGTGTCAGTGAAGGTTTTACGGTTTTTTTCTACACGCATACGGAAATAAAATGTTTGGTCTAAACCTTTTGCCTGTCTCCCATCAAATCTTAAAACTTTACTAACTTTTGCACCAGAGCATCTAGTGAGCTGGGAGACGATTCGTCGGAAAGGTATCTGTGGTGGTTTTAATCCTATTGAGTATTTCTTGAAGGGTATGAGGTTTAATTTTTACTTTCCATCTTTAAGAAATTTTCACCTTAACTTTTGGCTAAACTTTTGTCATGTACAGATTTTGCATAGTAAACGGCAGTTTAAGAAAAGTCACTTATTTGAAATTTTCAGGTGAAAATTTTGAAAAGGCTAGATTAATTATTCTACCATACACGTGACGATATTGCATACAAATAAAAATTGAAGGCAATCTATTTGAAAAAAATACATCTAAACTAATTTTTTTTTAATTCCTAAATTAAATAAACTAAAAAAATCGAAATGTAGATGTGCTCACATTTAATAAATAACAAAAGCTACATTATCATTTTGTAGATTTATATTTATTACAAGAAAATTTTCTTTCTATACTAATATTTACTAAAATCTGAAATTGATTTTAATTAAATTAAAAAGACTAAAAACTATATTTTATTCAAATTTTGTACAAAAAATGAAAATTAAAATGAATACAACTGTAGACTCAGTCTCTGAAAAAGCTATTTCATAGTTGGAATTGATGTACCTTCTATAAATATTGATATTTTATTTAGGAATTTTATAATATTGGCTTAAAGAAGATTTAGCTTCAACTATTCGTTTAAAATTTTTTGTTAAAAATTATTTCTTTCAATTTGCTTAACCAGCTATATTTCACAGGAGCTTTTATAGAAATTTATTAGGTACATACATAGGTACAATTAATATCCGTTTTGAAAACTACATGTTTATTAAAATATTCAAAAACTGTTTCTACTAAATTTAAAGAATTATTATTTCTAACGTTTGTGAATGTTTCCTTAAATTTTTTTTAACCAAAAATTATATGTAATTTTCTTGTAATGAGCGTTACTTTCTGTTATGTCGTAAAATGAAGTTATCAAAAGTTTAAATAAATAATTAATGAAATTCTAAAAAAACTCGTAAATTTTTATTTGAATAATTAAAAAATTAAACAAAATTTTGTCATTTTTGTTCTAATGCGGTTAATGAACTTAATTAACATTTATATTTACCTGGTTTTATATGTCCTTCTAAATCAGCAACTGAACCCCTTTTAACTTTTTCAACAAGTGCACCGCGACCAGCGGTGTTGGTACTACTACCTGTATTTGAACGAGGAGATTGACAACCGACTACTTTAAGACCTAATATATCTTCACCATCGTAATTTTTTCTTAATATCATATGACCAATCATACGAGTATTATCAGCTGATACTTGCCAATTAACAGGATTCTATATATATATATATATGTATGTATGTATTGTAATGTATATATTTCATAAAATATATAGTTTTTATGTATCATAAATCATATACATGTTTAAACTAGAATAGAATAACAAAATTAAATATTTATAACAATTTATGTTTTCCTAGGCTTAATTTGCTCTGCTATTCACTATTATTATAATTATGTAAGTTTTTCTCTTTTCAAATATCAAAATAAAATTTGAAGTTTTTTCTGACACTTGTTTTTTATAAAATTTTTGTGTACTGATATACTTTTATTTTATACAATATAATATTATTATTTAACAAATACATATACAAATATCCTTAAAATCTAAATAAAATTTGACGTTTTTTTTTCTTAAAATAAAATGTTATTTAACATCATATGTAATAAGTATTAAAAAAATAGTAAATATGTATTGTATGTAAGTAAAATATTTGAAAAAATAGGATAAATATATAAAGTACAAAAAGTTTACAAAAGTTACAAATATCAAAATTCAAGATAGTTTTTAGTACAACAGAACACCATACGCATCATACATGTGTATAAACACATTATATAATATAGAAAAAAAACATTTATAAAACTTAAATAGAACAGAAGAAATATTTATTTATTGTTTTTTGTTGAGTTAATTCGGGATTTTTCTAAAAAATGAACAATTTGACAAGAAAAGCAAAATACTTCTTATTTTTAGCGAAACAATTTGAATGCACACTTATAATCCTTTGATGACAACATATATCTGTCATTATGTCAAAATTAATCTGTCATTAAAGCAAGGTTCGGCATATTTAATATTCGATATTTAAAATATATTTGCTGTTGCTAAAATATTTTGAAATTTTACGAAAGCCTTGGCTTTTTGCAGTAAATAGATTGTTCGATCAAATAGTAATTTAACTGTTCATGATGTCATGATGAACTTTTTCTTTGACCAATGGCAATTCTCAAAGTAACGAAAAAAACCTTTAATTACAAAATTTTGTTTTTCAATATTTAAAAAATATACGTTGTGTATTTATTCAAACCATTAAAATTAAATTAAGGTTAATCAAATGAAAGAACGAAAAACTGCTTTCAAAGAATCTACACGTTATATATTTCCCCTTAGACAGCTAATCCTTAGTTATATATACAAAGATATTCCTAAAACTGTTGATATTTCATTCCATTCAAAATTTCGTATTAAAAACTAAGATATATGTACGTAATATTTTCTTTCTTGTCTGACTTTAATCTAGCATACCATACTTTACATACACATACATACCCCTCGCGATTTGAATATAGTCTAAGAAATGTTCTTTAGAAATTTTTTTAATTACGTATGTATTTTACTTAAATATGAATCTTATCACTAATATGAAAAATTTTTTTGTTAGTTGATTGAGTTTCATAGGTTCAATGGTTTTTAAAAGATGAAAAATTTGAAATTTTGTATAAAATATTCATACTTCAAGGTTTTTTTCGAACTTTTAAGTGTTAATCTCTTATAATATATATACGTATATAGATTGGTCGATTTACTCGGGAAAACTTTCTGCTACAATCGCCAAATTTTTTAATAAAAAGATGATGAACATCTTTATTAAAAATATTGTTGATTATACTTTAGTTTGCTGAAAAGTAAAAATTTTATGTATACTACATATGTACTATGTACATACATATATTTTTAGTTTAATAAAAAAAATATGTATAATAAGTATTTATTTTAATAATTATGTTACTTATGCTTTTTTTTGCACTAAATTTTAGAATTAAGGAAATTATAGAATAGAATATTAATTTGTCTTTACTACTTATTTATAATATAATTAAATATTATTGAATTAAAAGCTACATACATATTTATTTCAAATAAGTAAGTTAACATAGCATATAGGGTAGTAACACATGCAAGATGTTTTAAAAGAAAATATATAATAACTTTCAAATAATAAACGCTAGTGTATAGTTTAAACTACGATATTTCCTAAATTGTATATATATTTACATAACTATGTCGAAAATTATTTTAAATATCAAAATAAATATTTAATATATATATATAATATTGTATTAATGCAAAATATTCAAAAGTAAAAAAGAATATTTCTCTAGAACAAAGCTATATGTATAGAGCTATATTTTAATATAGATTATAACAATATATTTTTTTAAAATAAAAATATTTTTGATCTAAAATTAACATTTTTAAAAAACTACGTTTGACTTATTTCGGAACACTAATGTATAATACTTATTGATTTCAAAATATCTCACTTTTTATCTTAAATAAATTCTAAAGAATACGAGTACGTCCTTTTGAAAAAATTTTTACATTATTATACTATATAAATATAATAAGAAAAAAATAATTTACTTCGTCGCAATACCATTAAAAAAATATGTTAAGACTGCAAGTTCTGTGTTGAATATTTAATAATATTTTTAAATAAGTATATAATATCTACTTTATAGCAAAACTATAAATCTATTTGTATTAAAAAATAATTAACATACATAATATATAGTTATGTAATTAATACAACTCAAGATAAGTACAATTATGTAAAGCTTTATGAAATTTACAAAAAAAAAATTTATTTACGTAATTGCATGCGAGTATAAAGCATAACAAAAAATATAATAATAAATAAAAAATAATAAAGAAAAATATATAGATATAATACTAAATAATCAATATACAAACTAAACTAAATACAAATACTTAAAAAGCTATTATTTAATATACCGTAAATCTTACTTTAGTACATACTTTATGTATTTAATATATGTATATACTAAAAGGCTTAAATTTCCCAAAAACAACAAAAAAAAATTTCAATACTACCTCATAAAAATATACATATATATATATATATATATACGTATGTATATGTATATACGATTAATATTATTGTAATATATTAAACGAAAATATGAAAACTCTTAAAACTATGTGACTTTTAGTTAATTTATGTCGGATTATGAATTCATATAGGTATATAGTATCATTGTTTGTACTACATACAAGTACTACATATTTGAGGAAGCAATCAAATATATCAGTTCATATGAATATCTTTCACAGAATCAGACAGAGTATGCAATAATATAATATCTTAATATTTCGCCTCTCAAAAATTACCAGATTCTATTCCTTCTATACGCAAAAATAATAAAAAATTAAATTTAAAACAGTGATAAATAAAAAAAACGGTAATTTTCCAAATTATAATTGTAAAAAAAAAAGGCTTTCTAACAATAACAGTAAAGTAGAAATAATGAACAAATAAAATATTAAAAGTGAAAATTAAGTACTTCTGCCAACAATAAGTACAAAAGAAGGAAAATATCAAATTATTTGTAAAATTATATACAATAAAACAAAATAAATGCAGTCTTCCAAAAGAAAACAAAAATGTAAGCAATAAAAACTAAAATTAAATACATTGATTAAGTTTTAAATAACAATTAGTTAATATTAGCAATATTTAAATATCAGAAATAGTTTTAAATTTATTTGAATACAATATTTGTGTAGCAGCCACTTACATATATAAATGTACATATTTGTACACATATTATTTGTTTCAGTGTGAATAATTAACGTAATTAATTTTCTTGTAACCATTACCAATAATAACAAATAATACATATGTGCATTAACAACTTCTATTATATTTGATTAAAATGAAATAGAGTTAAACGCAATACAACGGCATATTTACATATACATATATATGAGCGTATAAATATATACACTTATGCATATACATGTATACTATATGCGATCCAAAAATAAAAATAAAGAAAACAATCATTACTATAACTTTGGCAGATTCTAAAAATTGCAACATAAATTTGACGTAGTTATAATAGGAACTTTCTAAAACTGTATACATATATTATATAGAGACGGATTTAATTAAATTTTGCTTCAAAAACTTGATGATAATTTTTTTTGGAATCATGTGTATACAAAGTTTTTTAAACATTCAATTTAATTCAATTCAGATTCAATTATATTTTACAATTGTTTTAGACCAACGCCATAATGAATACGTGTATGAAATGTTATATTAGATTTTTTACTTGAAAAATTTCTTTTAAATTTCCCAAATTCAGTTTGTTTTATATTAGTTTTTAAATTTAAAATATTCAGTTAACACTTCATATTAAATTGTTCCAATGAATTTTCTTTTTATATTTTAATATTCTTAAATCGAAATTTTAGATCTATTACTATTAATATTTTTATTATTAGTACCTTTGGGCCATCTCCACGATTAGAATCTTCACTACTTGTAAATGTACTGCTTGTATCGATTCCAGAATCTTTAGTGGCTGAATCTTGACTACCTTGTCTCTCTGATTCCCATCTTGACCAATCATCAGTTGACATTTGTGTGCTACCACCGCTAACTCCTGTAAATGAACCGCCTAAATTGTGTATTAAATTTGTAGATGCATTATGATGAGCAGCCTGTTGTTGTTGGGATGAACCAATTAAAATTTGACCTCCAGTTGAAATTGATGAAGGTTGATGTAAACTGCTTTGAATTAAATTGCTAACAGTTAATGATGAACCGGTACCACTAAGATTACTAGTGATTAGATTTTGTTGGTGCTGTTGTTGCAATAATCCACTACTAGTATTTGATCCACTAGAATTTGATGAAGCAACAGCTAATGAAACTGCTGCAGTAGGTCCAGTAATAGTGGTTGCAGTTTCATTTTCATCATCATCTTCATGACCATCAAAACGGACAGTTTTCTTTATTCTACGTTCTGTATAACGCCGATTATCTTGTGCAGATGATGTTGTATCATCCCAATAAGGATTATGCGAAGTTTCATTATTCGTATAACGATCGTATGAGGTAATGATTGGTTCACCTATTACTATTTGTGGATTTGGTAGAGTAGATGTTCCAGTTCCTGCTGTCGCTTCTGTTGATGAAGCATATTGATTTTGACCAATCGATGTTAATGTATTACCGGTAAATGACAGCGATGGCACTGATTGTTGATAGTTTAATATATTTGATGAAGCTCCTGTCAATTGTGAACTACGATATTGTTGTGGATAAAGGCCAGTTGTTGCTGTATCTGGTATTTGGCGTGATGATTGTGAATAATATGATTGTTCTTGTCGATCATGATTTGTGCGGTTAAATATATTTTTTTGTTGAACATCTAGTTGTTTTGCACCAAGGGAATAACGACTATCCGTACTACTAATTATTAAATCGGTTGATGTTAAATCTGTATCACGTTCAATATTCCATCGATTATCATAATAGGATTGGCCATAATGATCAACTGTAAACGTTAATAAATAGTTTTGGTAGTATGGGTTTTGTTTCTTTCATTTTCTAATGATTTTTTTAAGTTTTCTCTTAAAAATTTTGAACCAAAAATTTTCAAATTTTCAGTTAAAATGTTAATTTTTATAATATTTAATAACTGCAAATTGAAAAAAAAATTGTGTTGTCTAATACGATTTCCTAAACAAATAAATTATAACTTTCTAAGAAATATTACCTCAATTTATATTTCCTATTGAAAAAACAACTACATGCCTTTGCGTAATTTTTGTTAATTTTAAATATTTTAAAAAATAAATCTGTAAAAGTATATAATATACAAAAAAACCTAGCATAAATTCTTGCTTACGTTCTACTTTCACTTATAATCACATTTTAAATACACCTAATTTTCTAAATTTTTTCGTATCGTAAAAACTATAGAAAAAAATTTATTTAAATAAAAAAGTAATATGTCAGTTAGTGAACAGTTATAAAATAAATTCTAAGAATTTAAGTTAAATTTAAATTTTCAAAGTTCTAATCATTATTACGTTTTAAAAACAAATGCTGAAAAACATAGCAATTCATATTTTCATTACTCTTAATGACGCCGACAACAATTTTGTTATAAAAATACTTAAAATTTAGATAAACAAAGCAAGAAAAAACTCATTCAAAACATGGCATCGCTATTTTCATATACGCAACCTGTATTATACAATGGCAACTTCCCTGGTCTTTCACGTATTATATTATTTTATGCAAAAGCTTTAAAACAAGTTTAATTATAAAGAGTCAATACAAAAGCGGATACAATATTCTGAATTTAACCAGCCATGATTATGATATTTTCTCTTCAATCGAAGAATTTCATACTTAATTATAGTTGTACAGTCAACAGTGTTACGGAATAAAAGGTACACGTAAAAGGCAAAACAAAAAGTAAATAAAGGTAGTAATATAAAATTGAAGCTTAAGTTTTGGAAACATTGTTTCAGATATTAATAAGTTACCAATTTTATGTGAGCGAATATCTAAAAACAAAATTTTTTTGAAGTGGCAAGCAGTAATCGAAAGTATGTTTTTTATCAAGCTGGTAGCCTAATTAATGACCTGTGCGCTAAGGATCAAAAGTAGATCATAATGTACTTTGAATTAATTATATCAATTATAATATTATAAACGTATTTCTTACTGATTTTGTGAGAAAGACTGAAAAAGGTACTAAGAAAAGCCCTAAAAAAATAATCCAATGGTTTAGTAAGGTGCTTAGGTTTAGTTGATATGTAAATGATCGCGGTTCACGTTTTAATCCCAAAACTTTTTTAATTCATCAAAGTAAGTATATAATTAAAGATTCTGCATTTGAGGTCCAGCAGTTAAAGTCTGACAAAAGAAAAAAAACTATTTTTTCCGTTTGGCTTTTTAAAAATTTTTGAAAACATGACTTTTTAAAGTTTTTTAATTAGTCATATTATTTTCTTCTTAATTTTTCTTAATTTACTCATTTTAATAATGAAAAATTTTAAAATAAAAAATAAACTTTTTTGCTAATTTTATAAATTGCAAATATGATATTTATTTTTAATATTCGTTGTCGATATTACTTTTTCGATATTTTTCACATTTTATAACGTCTTCGAAGAATGTGGTTTGAACATAGTTTGTGAACTCTCAAAACAGCAAAAGTCATTCAAAAATTTTTTCAAAAAATGCTTAAATTCTTCAATATTGTACCTTCAAGATTTTGACAATTCTGCATTATCTTATATTTTAAATGTTTTACCAAACTTGCATAATATCACATTTTGAAAATTTTGACGACCATCAATAACCAATTCCTATTTCATATATATACTCAATAATATAAGCATTTTTAATTTGTCCAAGACTCTATTTATTTCCATTATTCCAATAGATAATTTTTTTATATTTTTTTATTTCCAATTTCTGTTTTACCATATGCTTCATAATTGTAGCTCTATTTTTATTGCATTTTAACGATTATATAGAATATTAAAAGCATTTTAAAATGTCATACATATTTTAGTCTAACTATATTATAGGGAATTCAATTTTTCATATATTAAAAAAATCTGATGTGAAAGTGTTAGAAAATATTATGAAAATGCTTTTAAATACTTCTTTCCAATTTTTAGGTCTTAAGTAAGCTTTTAGTTAACATACCCACAAAAATGTACATTTGGCTTTTAGTACAGTTTCGCTTTATGCTACCCGAATTCCCTGAAATGCTCGCCAATTAGTTTTGATAACAACCAGAACTCATATATCGAACTTCAAGAAATTCCATCAATTCGTTCCGTGAATATGGTAAAAAATGTAAAATCGGCCCTCAGAGCAAACGCAGAAAGGCAGTGGCTTGCTTCCCCTAGCACGGTATACTATTGTTAAACTTTAGAAAAACAAAATGGCCGTTCAAATTTACCGTTATCTAAAGTCCGTTTTTTTCAAATTTTTGATATAGTTTTTCTTCTAGACCCCAGCCTGTAGAAGGTTGAAATTTTAGGGGCTTTTAGACACTAATAAATGCTTCATTTCGTTAGAAGAAAATTTTTTTGCATGTCCACCCCCTCTCAAGTTATCGCCTCTTGAAATTTGTAAAATTTGAATTTTTGACACCTTATATTTCCGAAACCGCAAGATTTTTAAAATTTCTATAAGCGTAAAAAGCTAACGGTAAATTCCATGACATTAAAAAGTATAATTATTTTCCTTAACTCACACAATTAAACCTTAAAATCGAGCACTATGTTAACCCCTCTTTATTTTAATTTTCGCTTTATTTAAAAGACTGCATAAATCGTTCATCCTAAATATATGCAATCCTAGAAATAGTTTCGTTTATGAAACTATTTTAATAGTGTGGTAGATATGCATAGACTGTATTTAAAAGCAGTATTTTCACTTGTTGAAGGGAAAAGTGCTACAATACAAAAGTGCTACAATACAACTTTATGTTTTATTTGCAAAACGGATGTCACAGTAGGTCACAATACCAAAAAAATACTTAAATACTTATAACCTTATTTATCACTGTCAATATGAAATAATTCTCCCGTAAACTAAAACTATAAGCACACTCTATACAGTTTATATTAAAAAAATTAAAAAAAATTAAAATACATAAAATAAAATAATTGTAAAAATAAAGAGAAAATATACGAAAAAACTTAAAACAATCGTTTTTTTAAAACAGTATGTGTGTATAAAAGAACTGATTGCATTAAATATTTAAAAAAAATGAAAATGACATGCAATTTATCATTAATTTAAAATATTCGTTTCAAAAAAAAAAAGAGAACAGATTAGAATATGTTTGTATGTCACAAATAATAAAATTTTACTTAATTAAATTCTTATATATGTATATATAGACACATAGAAGACTAACACATGTAAATCAAATTTCATATTTATTTTTGCATATATCTATATTACAACGTTGTATATTTATAGTACATAGAATAATATTAAATATTTATTTAAAAAAAATAAGAATTATAATAATTTTTTTTAAATATTATGTATACATATCCTTTAATATCCATTAAAAAAAGCAATTGTATATATATATATATATATATATATGTAAGTAACGTAAACATTGTTAAGCGATTTGTATCTTAAAGCGAATAGACATTTGATATTAAACATAATAATCATATAATATTTGGATTAATAAAAAAAAATCAAACTGAGAGAATTTAGTAATGATTATCGTGTGAAAATCGAACGAAATCAGAAGAAAAAAATTTTTAATTAAGTAATTATTAATAAAAACAATCGGAAAAAGGTGCATTTCAAAATAGAGAAAGATAGTAAACAATAATATATGTATATATCGCTTTGAAATTATGTATGATGTACTTGTATATGAAGTATACATAGACTTAATCTTTTAATATAAAAACAATTACTAAAATAAATATTGTAATTGAATATTACTTTTAAATTAAATACAGTACAATTTCGATTGAATTATATGTATATGTATACAGAATATACTGTAACAAACTCACAATGCTAACGCAAATTCATTGCAAAATTATAAATGAATCATACACAACAGCATTTTTATTCTATATTGCAATTAGAACGTTCTGACTTCCATATTATAGAAAAAAAATCTTATTAAGGCATACTACGTTCGACTCAAAAAAAATTGTGTTTTATTTTTTAAAATATTATGCGTTCTACATCGTCTTAAAACTGCTTAACTAGTAGAAGATGTCGCGAAAATAATTTTCCATTAAAATAAGAAAATATTTTATAAGTAAGAAGACCATCGACTTTTTAAATTTTAAGTTTTGAAAAGAAAAATTTGTTTTGTTTTGATATACTTAATTTTTAAAGTTTAATCAGCTTTAAAGTGGTTTCAAAACGTTTTTTTTACAATATAGAAGTCGCATGTTGACAGTTTTTTAAAAGTCAAAATTTTTGTAGATTCATCTGTTATTCGAAAATGTACTGTACATATTCTTTTTTTTAGTTTTTTTCTTTCTTTATATATATTTCTAATATACAAACAAAGAAAAAATCGTATTTTGTATATTTGTACATTTAATTAAAAAAAAAATATAGTTAATGCTTTATTAATATTTTATAAATAATTTTCTTAAAATTTTATAAAAAAAAAATCGTTTGAAAATTATATGAATTATCTAATTTTAGAAAATATTAAATAAATAAAATTGAACATAAAAATAACATAATCCTTACATTATGTACTTGCAATTCCTCAGTTTCTAATTCAGTTTGATTATAATCGCCGCCTGTATTAATTGTATATAATTATATATATAATAAAAACTTGTTAAAATATTTTTTGTTACATTTCAGATAAATGTTTGTTTTATTAAAAATTTATTATTAATTCATATAATTACTAATAAGGTATTATAAAAATTTGACATTCTTATAATGTATGTACATATCATAAACAATGTAAACTGTAATTTCATATAATTATTGAGGGTCAGTTTTGGCATATGT